AGATTTTTTATTAACTGACATAGAATAGGCATCATAGACATAGACAAAGACAGCAAGTGAAATGGTTTGCCCACTTAGAGAGAATGCCTTGTGACACCATACCATACAAAGCATACATGGAAAGAGAAGAAGGACGTAGAGCACGGGGTAGACCAAGAACAAGATGGAAGGATAACATCAGAGAAACTCTACAACAGCACGATGTGCCTATGGTCGAGGCAGCCAGAAGAGCTAGAAACAGAACCTTATATCTCCCTCGACACCCACAGCGGTAAAAGAGGAAGTGAAGAAAAAGAAGAAGAACAGGCATCACCGGTTATTTTACACATGTAGAGCTTTTGAGGAAGAGATCGGAGCACCTGTGGGTCTGTCCGGAGTGCTGTGATAATTCTTACTAATCCACTTTAAGAGCCTTAATGCAGTATCTGCCATAGGAGGAGCAGGATGAAGACAAGCATGCTTGCTACATCTAACTCAACCCATTTATTTTATTTGATATTTTCCCTACAACGTTATCATGGTATAGCCCAAAACTTGATGTCATAACAGCTTTACCAAGACCTGTTACAAACTTATGTTTCCACAACTGTGTACCACGACAGCCACAAACATGACATTTTCACAGCTGTACCAGGACACAGCTGCAAACTTGATATTTTCACAAATGCACCAAGTATGAGGAGTGGCTGTCCAAGTGGTTACAACACTAGGCTCTCCTAGGTTCGAATTCTTTGTAAGGTGATGAAAGATTTTCTTTTGGGGCCTGTACGGTTGGTTCACGACAACTGCACTAGCCATGCAGCCTAAATCCTCAGACTCACCACCTCCCCTTGTCTTACACCACCTTAAAAAGTGGTAAATACCAGTAAAGACCAAGAAAGCCACAAACTTTATTTCGAGGAAGCAAGACTTAATTTTTTATAATTGTATCAAGACCACATAGCTGTACTATTCCTCTAGTTACTGGCCAAGCAACTGAAACATCAGGTTTTACTTTTCAGGAGACTTGGACTCAAAAGCTCAGGTAAATTCAAAAGAAATATTATGTATTTGAGGGAAGAAAAATCTTAACCTAAATCCTCAGGCCCACACCATCCCAGAAAGTCTTTAGCCCAAAGGTTTCCGGCCGCACGGCTAGTGTGCTGGATACAAGTCTTTAGCCCCAAGGTTTCGGCCGCATGGCTAGTGTGCTGGATACAAGTCTTTAGCCCCAAGGTTTCCGGCCGCACGGCTAGTGTGCTGGATACAAGTCTTTAGCCCCAAGGTTTCCAGCCGCACAGCTAGTGTGCTGGATACAAGTCTTTAGCCCAAAGGTTTCCGGCCGCACGGCTAGTGTGCTGGATACAAGTCTTTAGCCCAGAGGTTTCCAGCCGCACGGCTAGTGTGCTGGATACAAGTCTTTAGCCCAAAGGTTTCCGGCCGCACGGCTAGTGTGCTGGATACAAGTCTTTAGCCCCAAGGTTTCCGGCCGCACGGCTAGTGTGCTAGATACAAGTCTTTAGCCCAAAGGTTTCCGGCCACACGGCTAGTGTAAAAAAGTAAGTAAAGATCCCTTTTCACGCCTTTGGGCGCATCGGACATATGGGCAGAGCGTCCCATATTTTTACAGACCATCAGCACTTTGTGGGTAATGTGGTCAGCATTACGCCGGCTGTCTTTACTTTCCCAGGACAGCCCATCCTGGTACCCATTTTAGGCTGGGTCGACCTGCGACGTCCCCATACCACGACAAAAATCCACACAGCCTGCAGTGGGTTTCGATCGTGGTATGCTGGCTTACGAGTCGGACTCGCAACGACTTAGCCACGGACGCCGCTACACGGCTAGTGTGCTGGATACAAACTGCAGATTATTAATTTCTGCCCCGAAGAGAATCAAACATTATCTCTTACAGATAATCGAACCTGGGTCTCCCAGCACTTGGGTAGCTGCTCCTCAAAAGTGGTAAGTAAAGATTGACAAGAAGATAACAATTAACAGAGGACAAACTCCTATAGCAACTGTAGTACTATAGAATTTATGTTCATGATAGCACAAATAAACTTCATGCATGAAATTTCACAGGTTCACACACACAGAACAGCTGTTATTCAGGTGTAAATCTCCCTTTGTGTCTGTTACTATGGCTCAGTGGTTGCAAACATGCTTTGTAATTCTGAAATACCCAGTTTCATTTCAGCTGCAGCAAACTGGCAGCAGCTCACTTTGCATGGATTTCAACACTGGTAAGGAGAGACAACCATTCAGATATCACCAATTACTGTATGTAACAACTGCTTGTAAAACCAAACAGCCACAAAACATTGGAGTTGGATCTGCAACGTCTTGTAAACAATACACAGTTCCTTCCCCTCCCCCCCCAGTAAACAAAAGACAAGTGCGTTGCAAGCCCCCCCCCCCCCCCCCCCAGTAAACAAAAAACAAGTGTGTTGCAAGCCCCCCCCCCCCCAGTAAACAAAAGACAAGTGTGTTGCAAGCCCAGCCCCCCCCCCCCCAGTAAACAAAAGACAAGTGCGTTGCAAGGCCCCCCCCCCAGTAAACAAAAGACAAGTGCGTTGCAAGCCCCCCCCCCCCCCCCCCAGTAAACAAAAGACAAGTGCGTTGCAAGGCCCCCCCCCCCCAGTAAGCAAAAGACAAGTGCGTTGCAAGCCGCCCCCCCCCCCCAGTAAACAAAAGACAAGTGCGTTGCAAGCCCCCCCCCCCCCCAGTAAACAAAAGACAAGTGCGTTGCAAGGCCCCCCCCCCCCCAGTAAACAAAAGACAGGTGCGTTGCAAGCCCCCCCCCCCCCCCCCGTAAACAAAAGACAAGTGCGTTGCAGCCCCCCCCCCCCCCCCCCCAGTAAACAAAAGACAAGTGCGTTGCAAGCCCCCCCCCCCCCCCCCCAGTAAACAAAAGACAAGTGCGTTGCAAGGCCCCCCCCCCCCCCAGTAAACAAAAGACAAGTGCGTTGCAAGGCCTCCCCCCCCCCCCCCAGTAAACAAAAGACAAGTGCGTTGCAAGCCCCCCCCCCCCCCCCCCCCCCCAGTAAACAAAAGACAAGTGCGTTGGAAGGCCTCCCCCCCCCCCCCAGTAAACAAAAGACAAGTGCGTTGCAAGGCCTCCCCCCCCCCCCCCCAGTAAACAAAAGACAAGTGCGTTGCAAGCCCCCCCCCCCCCCCCCAGTAAACAAAAGACAAGTGCGTTGCAAGCCCCCCCCCCCCAGTAAACACAAAGACAAGTGCGTTGCAAGCCCCCCCCCCCCCCCCAGTAAACAAAAGACAAGTGCGTTGCAAGCCCCCCCCCCCCCCCCCCAGTAAACAAAAGACAAGTGCGTTGCAAGCCCCCCCCCCCCCCCCCAGTAAACAAAAGACAAGTGCGTTGCAAGCCCCCCCCCCCCCCCCAGTAAACACAAAGACAAGTGCGTTGCAAGCCCCCCCCCCCCCCAGTAAACAAAAGACAAGTGCGTTGCAAGCCCCCCCCCCCCCCCAGTAAACAAAAGACAAGTGCGTTGCAAGCCCCCCCCCCCCCCCCCCCCCCCCCCAGTAAACAAAAGACAAGTGCGTTGCCAGCCCCCCCCCCCCCCCCCGTAAACAAAAGACAAGTGCGTTGCAAGGCCCCCCCCCCCCCAGTAAACAAAAGACAAGTGCGTTGCAAGGCCTCCCCCCCCCCCCCCCGTAAACACAAAGGCAAGTGTGTTGTAAGTAAAGTCCATAATCACACACGTTCTGAGTTGAGTTGAGTTGATTCAAGAACTTACATCACAGCACTCAGTCCCCATCTTCAGCAGCCAGCGCAGAGTTCCAATACCAATGGTGCCAACAGCATTCTGATTATACGTTCATCTTCTCTTTCCTTTAAGCATTGAGTATTGACCAAATCCCCGCGTCACACCAAGCTGCATCACTCTCACCAGACAATTTATCTTTTTCTGCTCCTCCAAAATGTACACTTCTCCCACAAGGCCCCTAACCACCTCTGCCTTATCATGTATGAGCATTCCACCATTTTGTTGCAGTGCCAGCCAGTCTGTCTGCTTGTTTGTTTCTCAGCACTCCAGCATACCCGGAGAAAGAAAATCCAGAAATGTGAATTTCTGGAAACAAATTCCTTAAAAAAAAAAAACTATGGTACGCAGGCAACTAAACAATTGTTAAAAATGTACCTTTCAAAATTTTTTTAATGTTTGTTTCCAAATATATAAAGAAATATGAAAGGACTAATCAATAAACATGAACAGAGAGAAGAAAACATTCCCTAGGGCTTAGAACAAATATTTGTCAGGTGACCCATGCCGTGACCTCCATCACTGAGACTTATGGAAAATTGTTAAGTCAACCTTGCTTTTAAAAACCTATTGGATTCCAGCAGAAAGCCCTCTAAATGCAATATATTTGAATAATATATTCACATCCAGACCTCCTAAACACTATGCAGGTGCACATAGAACCAACAACATTTAACTATGTAAAGATCAACAGACAAGAAGAAAACAATAAAGAGAGGACAAACTCGAGGACAGATCACTGCAGAAATTGTGATATACTGATATTTATGGGGCTGTGTCACAACCTGAAGTGATTATATTTAACCTTCTTTTGGTGATAGTGTTAATCAATGTTGGGAAGGTACAGGGTACCTCCATTACACCCCTACAATGAGATCACCTTTAAGCCGCTCATTTTAAACTATTTCATTCATTCGTTAGTTTTAACCAACACTGCAAAAATACACAAGAAAAGGTCATCAAAAACACAAAAATCAACTCAACAATTCATAGTTACATCAAATATTTACAGACACGGTCTAAAGCATGACAAGGTAACATCTTGTGTTAATTTTTCTGTGTGATCTAAATTACCAATAATTCTTTCTTATTTCAAGACTAGATGAGCTGTCCTAGATATCAGAAACATGTGTCTATACAACTGTATCTGTTCTTCAGTCTCATTCTCTTGCCTTAGTGTCATCTATGCAACAATTTATTCTGTCTTCCATGAAGTCTATAGTAGATGTCTTTGACTTAGATTCCAGTGTGAAGTTTCAGCACCCTCTTGATCCTTCTGATGATAGCTTCTGTAAAACTGTAATGGGTTCTCTGCTTTCCATAAGACTGGAACAAAATAAATGATTTCATTAGACAGTTATTGTAACAAGGGATCAGCTCTACACATAGCAAAATCAAACCACAGCATCATGTGGGGGTGGGGGGAGGAGGAGGAAACTCTTTGAAAAAGTGCCCTGAACAGGAGAGAATTCCTGGGAAAAAACAAAGATAGTAGACAGTGTCAGGGGTGGAGAGATGGGTGGCAAGATCAGAGCACATGTTTATAAAGGTCATTCAACTTGCACTGACCGACATGATCATTTGTACTTCTCATATTCACCTCCAACTCCCTGAGCTTGATAAGTACCAAGAGTTATGAGCGCTGTCACACAATTCATTGTTAATAAACTCAAAGCACATTAACACTGCAATCACGGCCATGACTACAAAACGAACAAACTATCAGAATGTGGTCACAATCCACACGAGAACGTCTGATGTGGATACAAGTTAAGCTCTGTTACTTTTACCTTTATTATTCAATCATTTCTACATCGTTCTAAATAATTCAACATATTATTTAACTCAATAACTAAAACTATTATTCATGGCCACACTATAGTTGTCCAGACCGCCCACTAGGGCGTCCGGTCGATGACTGTCCCCAGCTGGTTCACAACCCGAGCTCACTTTTCCCTACTTCAGGTGCCCGTGTGCACATCATGACAACCACATGTGTAGTGCCTTGACAGCAGTCCCTTATTACCCCCATCTCCACCCCTAGCCTGATCATGACAGAAAGCATCTTTTGATCATACAAAGACAGCATTATTTTAAATATAACAGGCAACATTCTCTCGTAAAGCAAAGACAACTGACAGTGATCTACAGCAAAACAAAGAAAGCAGATAATAATACACAAAGACAAGAGACAGCATTCTACAGTAGAACAAAGACAGCATTTATACTCCCACTGGCTTACCTGGTCCACATATTGCACTTTCTTGAAGAATGCTTCGTTGAGCACTGAAGGGGCAATCGAGCGTAGATGGTCAATGTCGCTGCGGGAGACACCTAAGGCCACCTGGCTGAGTCCAGCAGACACTGCAGGGCTACCTAAAGTACTCAGCTCTCCAAAAGATTCACCTGTTCCTGTAAAACACAAACTTCAGGGACTTAACTGTATGAAGCCAGGAGAAGCGTGATGTTAAAGATGAAATCTATGACGGATCTGGCAACCAGTTGAATTTTTGATCTGGCAACCAGCAGAAGATTTGATCTAGCAAATCAGTAGATCTGATCCAGTGACCAGTAGAAGTTTTAACTTTCTACATATAGAAGTGTGCAGGATTCATTAAAGAGCAACAAATTAGATGCTTTCATCATCTGTAGAAATATTATAAACACAAAACAAAGGGAAGACCAAGACAAATATGGAATGATGGCATCAAGAACAGCCTTAAAGAAGTGGTCAGCTTATACAACACACTAAAAAGAGCACACTGAAGATCCATCTTCCCCCCATCACTTTGATGAGGTAACTAGGGAAGAAGAAGAAGAAGAATGCAGGGAAGCTGTACCTATGTTGTGTCTACAGCTGTGTCCAGGTATGGCCAGTAGTATCCATGTTGTGTCTACAGCTGTGTCCAGGTATGGTCAGTAGTATCCATTTTGTGTCTACAGCTGTGTCCACATATGGCCAGTAGTACCCATGTTGTGTCTACAGCTGTATCCAGGTATGACAAGTAGTACCCATGTTGTGTCTACAGCTGTGTCCAGGTATAACCAGTAGTACTCATGTTGGGTATACAGCTGTGTCCAGTAGTACCCATGTTGTGTTTACAGCTGTGTCCAGGTATGTCCAGTAGTACTCATGTTGTGTCTACAGCTGTGTCCAGTAGTACCCATATTGTGTCTACAGCTGTGTCCAGGTATGGCCAGTATATTCTCAGACAGTCCATGTCAAATTATTGTCTAATATAATAAATCTGTTCAAAAATAAATAAAAAAATGTTCAGTTATTATCATTTCTACTCAGCCTTTAACCAGAACTCATCAGTTATCAAACTGGAGGACTTTTAATTATACTACATGACATTATCTTCTATACTGGAATTTTTTTTTTTTAATTCTGACTAAAAAGTTTACATCAAGGTATAATGAAGCACAAAACACAAATCCTTAAACTGTGAAATCTACAATTGATGTCATTTAAATTCACAACAGAAAAACACTAATTTCTACAATATTAACCTATTCTAGAGCACTGAAGGAGGACAAGCATGCATAAACTGATTGTGGGGCACAGAAAGAAGATCTGCTAGTCAACTCATACTGGCTCCTACTAGAGCACAGAGACAAATGGCTGCACAGATGGACTGGACCAATGTGCAATGATATCGAGTCAAAGAATTGACAAGTATCACTTGGATTATGTTTTTGAAACATGCAACCAACTCTTACAAGAATTACTGGCAAATCTACAAAACATGGGAGGGCTCCTAGTGTAATAGCTAGAAGCTCGCCTGCAGATCATGGGTTCAAATACAGAATGGAACCATAACTTTGGCTCCCAGGCTGACCCAGCCTTAAATGGATACTAGGTAAAGTCCTGGGAAGAAAAGGCGGAGGGCAGGATATTGACCACATCACCCACCGAGCGCTGATTGGTTTATAAAATACTGGTCTAACAATAAATGCCAAACAGGCCTTAAGGTGTGGACAATGACCCTCTGCTAGCAACCATGTTTACCTGTCAGTTTTCTAAGTCCAGTCCGGTGTCTCATCAATGTGGGTGTGGTCATGGTGGTCTGGTCGGCAGGAATGCAGTGAACCAGGTAAAAATCGAGGTGCCGCCAGGTAATATACAGGCAGTTTTCCACAATGTCTGTGACGACTCAGTCAAGAAAAACATGGCAATAAGGCTCAACACTGGACTGAGAAACTGTAACATGTGACGTAAACTTTATTTAAAGGCAAAATATACAGAAGAGGGTATAAGAGAAATTTTAAAATTTTATGAAGTAAGAGAGAAAAGAATATTAGAGAGATATACTGATGAAAGGTGGTTGAGAGAGAGAGAGAGAGAGAAAGAGAGAGTGGGAGAGAGAGTGAAACAGGAATGAAACCAGATACTGAAGGATGGGGAGAGCAAAGGTGCATTAAAAAAAAACCAAAGAAGAGTTACAGAGAAAAGAAAAATATTTGGGGAGACAGACATACAGAGTGACACAATGCGGATTAAATGCTGAATTAAGAATCGACATCACAGCACCCAGAACACTCCCAAAAGAGCTTTATCCTTATCTTCAGCAGCAAGCAAGAGTCCAATTCCGATGACACTGGCAAAGGTCTGGCTGTATATCGTCTTGCCTCTCCCCTGAGTGTCAACCAGATCCCCTGGTAACTCCTCGCAACACCATTCTCCTCAAACTGCAATGTTCAATTTGTACCTCCTCACTGTTCACTCGCTCCTAAAGAGCCCTCACAACATCTAGGTTGTCATAAATCAATTCATCATCAAGTGGTGTAAAACCAGCCAGTCTATCTGCCTGCTTGTTTCTCAACACACTGGCATAACCTGAAGAAAATATCTAAAGGACACTAACTACCTGGGACCTCTAGAGCTATGCTTGCCACTCTTCAAAGAGCATGCCTGTCTCCACCTTTCTCAAGCCATCTGTATAGATAATCACATAACCTGGGTGAGAAGACAGAAACACTAAGATAAAGATACAGAGTGGAAGGCGTCAGAAGGAGAAAAAAAAGGGAAAAGGGGTTGGGCTGTTACTTCAAAGTCAAAGGATACACACATAATGCTGGAGCTGCTGCGACTTCTGGGCCAGGATGTGAAGCAGATGACTCCTGGCAACTTCCTGCCTCTGTTGGGATGACAGTTTCTCGACAGAAGTGTCTGCACACAGCTTCAGGAAGAGAAACCAGAAACAAGAGATTACACCACTAAGCAAATTCTACTTTTATTTCTCAATGAGCCTCATTTTGCTGGCCAGTCCAACAACTAAATCCCAAATATTCTGTTAAAGTTTCTTTTTCTTCAGCATTCTGAGACCCTGATGTTCAATGCAGCAGATATCATTTGCATCCATTCATCTCTGTGATCTGTCATCTCTTTCCAGTTGATGTTTGTGGGTCTGCCTGTATATTATCTCTCCACAATCTTCTTGGTCTGCTTTTTGGTCTACGGAAATTTAACTCCCTTGTTTATTCAGTTTTTGCCTCTTATCTGCCATTCTGTCTACTGTTCAACTTTATAAAACAGTTATAATTTGGGACCCTATATTTATTATTTAGGACCCTATAGCTACACCAAGTATTAATTTGATGAACCCTACTGTCTAAGGCGGGTGAAGGTGTGACAGCAACAAACTCTTGGTATCTACCAAAAGGCCTCAATCTGTTCACCCGGGAAAGCCTAAAAAAGGGGGGTGCCATGACCACGTGGGGGACCCCCCCCCCCCCCCCCACTCTTAAAATGACAGAGAAAAAAAGGACCATTTTACATAGGTCACTAATAAATGTTTAACCAAATTTATATATCTACATTTTTTACCTTCTAAATAAAAAAGATATTAATGGAGTAATCAATGAACATGAACAGAGTGAAGCATTAAACGGAATATATTCCCTGCTGCTTAAAAAAATATATATCAGGTGAACTCACGCAGTGATGCTGTGACCTCTATCACAGAGGCTACAGGGAAAATTTGGCAGCATGGCTTTAAAAGTCATATGTGTCACATAACGGCATCAACACCCCTACCACAATAGACTTGCCCACAGTCTGGACACCCCCATATTTGTTGATGTAACTATGATATCGGATGGTCCGTCCGTAGATATATAGTTCGTTTGTTGTTGGGGAGTCCAGCTGTGGGAAACCTATATAAATTGCTCCTGGATTGATTCTTCTGGGCGTATAGTGTCTATAGGTATGATACGACACATTTTCTACGCCTGTTCAAGCTTAACAGTGTGACCGCTTCACAGTGTGCTTGAACCTTATTCTCGCCCCAACTGTCGTAGATAGGGACTATAATTTTATACGTCACTTTTTCTTGGTCCGTTCAAGTAGTGGGACGTGTTTCAGTTCGACCGTTAATAAAGCATCTTTGCTCTCTTCATTCGTTTATAAGAGTGAGTTTTCCTAACAGGATTTAAATGAATATATTCCTGCTCAGTGCCTGTGGGTGTTTGCAAGAGAAGGTAAGCAGAATGTTAATGCGAATCTGGTTGTCTACGATCACCTGCGACGAAAGACGATAGATAGCGATCCTGGTTGGAATGCACTTTCGGCTGTAATTTCTCCGTGAATTCGTCTAGCCGGCTTTCTAAACCTATTCAGATCAATCAATCCACCTGTCTGGAGTGTAATTATTGTATTGTTAAACTTGTATGATCCGTTATTATCTTTTAATTGGTCTCTGAACTTGTTGAGTTGGTAGACCTTTGGAAACGGACAGAGCTCTTCGAGTAAAGCATGACATCATATCCGCTGTAGCTAGGAGCTGCTGTAACCACAACAAGCTTAGGCTTTGGAAATACTTTTGGAGTATATTCTGCTATCTTAGTTTTGTATTAATCTCCTCTACCTTATCTTTCCAACGAGTGAAAAGGGCATATATGGAGGGATGGGGAATGATAGAGATATGTCTGACTTTCGATACAAAACAGGATTAGGAAACTATTGGAGTTAATAGAAACATTGGTCTGGCTCTGGTGCTCACTCTGGGAAACTGTAGGGGCTCCAAGATATATAAAGTCAACCTTCATGGTTTGGACTAGCCCACATTTACCTCTGAGCTGGTGGAGAGCATGAGGAGAGTGATTAACAGGGTACATTAGGTGAGGTTTGCTCATGTGTGTTGCCATGTTAATTACAGGAAATTGGAAGATCCAGCATGCATCCATGTGGTAGTCAGGTTATCCCGCCAACCAACACCTGGGAAGAAACCGACTTGTGTTGACCAGCCATTGCCTGATATGTCTGACTGTTTTGAAGTTCACGCCCACCAGTCTCTGGGAAGTTGATTGTTATTCGATCAATCCCAGGGGTCATCTTAATCGTACGGAGACGTTCTGAGTAACGAGATGTGGCAGAATTCCACCTTCCGGCACCCTGGAGAGCTGCAGGATCCGACCAGATAAGTCCAAGCTAACGTCACTTTAGCGGCCTGAGTCCAGATGTGCCTTCGTAGTCTGTCTCTTGTCTCCACGCGATGATGATTATGGAAATGGATGTGGCGATGTAGGAAGACTCTTTCTCTAGTCTCAATTCTTCAAGAACTTGAACAATCGTTTTGGTTCTTCATGCTACATTTCTTCTGCCTTGTTATAGTGCATTTATTACATTGGAGTTTTAGTTTATAAGACTTCTTAGAAAAGGAAAAGTTTGGTTTTAATGGAATCAATTGTCGTAGTCCGAAATGTGTTCACGTCTTGTTGACTCACTGTTGTTTGTATATCTGACTGTGTTACGTTGTTTACCAGTCTAGGGGCAAAGTTAGTAATGGGGGAGTCTGGCCGAGTAGTACCCAAGAGTTTGTAGTAACCCTGAGGAGTCAAAGCTCGAGTCACCCCATTCCTGAGATAGGCTGAGAGAAAATTTGAACCGATGGCTAGGCCTCTAGACAAACGAGAGCCACTGTTCAGATCACCCCTATCTCAGAGCACCTGAGGATTTTGGGAAAATAATCCGGAAGAAAAGATGCGCGTTGAAACTGCCATACGACAATATGATTCAAAAGAATGTTGAATTAAGAATCAACATCACAGCGCTCGGGACAGTCCCATAAGTGTTCCGTCGTCATCTTCAGTAGCAAGTAAAGAGTTCCAATTCCAATAGCACCAGTAGCCGTCTGATTGTATATCCGTCTCATCCTTCCCCTGAGTGTTAAGCGCCGGCCATATGCCCTGGTAACTCCTTGCAGCGCCATTCTCCTCAGACTGTAATGATCTATATGTGCATCCTCACTGGGCCCTCATAATATCTAGCTTGTCATACATCTATTCACCACCAAGTGGTGCAGAACCGGCCAGTCTATCTGCCAGCTCATTTCCCAACAAACCGGCATGACCAGGTTTGAGAATCTGTGCCTTCTACCACAGATGTTAACTACCAGGTTTGAGAATCCGTGTTTCCTGCCACAGATGTTAACTACCAGGTTTGAGAATCTGTGTTTCCTGCCACAGATGTTAACTACCAGGTTTGAGAAACTGTGTTTCCTGCCACAGATGTTAACTACCAGGTTTGAGAATCTGTGTTTCCTGCCACAGATGTTAACCACCAGGTTTGAGAAACTGCTTCCTGCCACTGATGTTAACTACCAGGTTTGAGAAACTGTGTTTCCTGCCACAGATGTTAACTACCAGGTTTGAGAATCTGTGCCTCCTGCCACAGATGTTAACTACCAAGTTTGAGAATCTGTGCCTCCTGTCACAGACAAAATTGTTAACTACCAGGTTTGAGAATCTGTGTCTCCTGTCACAGACAAAATTGTTAATTACCAGGTATCCTACCATCTGCCTTTGATCCTCCTCAAAACATTTGTATGCACATGGTCTTGCTAATGATGTTTAAAGTGTTACCATAGCCTGTACAGTAAAGAAACCCTGACAAATAAGAATCTCGAACACACTGAAGGATGACAGAAAAACATTAAGTGGAAAATGTTTATAAAAAATATTCCTATGTAGTTTCTGGAGCACCATTTAAAAATAAAATAAAAACATGTTTAGACCCCCTGCCTCTTAACAAGCAGGTCGTAAAAGACAAATAAAGGAATCACTGAAATCATGTGTTGGTAAAACAGGTGCAGATCTCACAGCCCAGCTGTAAACCATAACATAACAAAGGTGAATTTAGAAGCAGAAAAAATGTAAAATTGCACTGAATGTTAACAGGATAACATTCCCTGAAAGAACATTAATAAAGTCTGCAATGAAAGAAAGATACTACAACCGTGAAGGTAAAACTCCTTGATAATGAATGAGATATACCCACTTACACCAACTCTAAGAATGAGAACTTGAACGTACCTGCTTGAGGTCCTCAGCCGTGAGCTCTGACAAGGTGGACAGCTTCTGCATGTGTCGTTGATGTGAGTCCAACACCTGGCTGAACTGACGGGCACACTGCTCCAGAAGAACCAGCACTACTCCAAGACCCAACCTACGTCCCATGTTGATGGTCACTGACAGTTCTGTGTTACATTTTCCAAACAGAACAAGAAGTAACAAAATAATACAGGTGGGGAAGTTTCAGAAAATCTGGACATCTGAGACTTTTATAATCAAAGACGATTCCTGTAGCGGATTCATTTAGCAGCCATGTTACAAGACACAACTAACAGCATTCAGACGATGTATTTCATCCATGTACTCCTTGTTTCTCATGCAAGAAATTCATCAACAAACACAACATCAACGGTTTGGTCATCTTGTTACTTCTTCTTCTTTGCGTTCAGTTTCGTATGCTCAGATCAGACCATCAGGTGGGTTGCCTCTATGAACTCGCATGTCAGCTGCAGGTCCTGCATGGTTCCCCATAGCTTGCTCTGCACACTCTGCTCTTGAGGCCAGGTGTCTTTTCGAAGTTGCAGGTAGAGTGGGCAGGTCTGCAGAATGTGCTGAGGTGTTTGTGGTCCTGTCTGACAGGCACACTGTGAGGACTGCACAATCTTTATTTTATGCATGTGGTAGTTGAGCCTGCAGTGTCCTGTTCGTAGACGGAAAATCGTTGTATGTTGCTTTCTGTTGAATCTGCTGATAGGGTCTTGTGGATGTTTACTGTTGGTTTGTTCTCTCCACAATCCTTGGTATTTTCCTTTGATAAGTGTTTTGATTTCTGGTAATGACAATGAATGGGCGTATTGTTTCTTCTTTGTTCCATTTTTTGCAAGTTTGTCTGCTAGCTCATTTCCTGGTATGCCGCAGTGAGCCGGGATCCACTGGAGAACGATTTGATTGTTTTCTGTGAGTTTGTTTAGCTTATGGGTCAGTTCTCTTTCTATGTTGTCTCGTGGATCCCTATGAGTCGCCTGGAGGACTGACATGCAGTCACAAAGGAAAACAATTTTGCTGTTTTTAATTTTTCTTTCCTTGAGCACTTTGGCTGAATCAATAATTGCTTGCTGCTCTGCTCTGAAGTTTGTTGAGAGTCTTCCGGAGGCGCATGACGTTTCTACTGTGGTCCCATCTTGCAGCATGATGACCGATCCAGCTCCTCCATTTTTGTCTGCTCCCTCCAATGATCCATCGGTGTATACGTGTGTCCATTCGGGTTTTGGATAACTGTTGCAGACATGTTCAAGGGTCTTTGCACGCAGTACTAAGTCACATTCTTCAGCCTTTCTGTCTATGCCTGGAATTGTTGTTGTGACTGTGTATTTAGGCTGTAGGTCTATGTTGTATGCCTGGATCATTTCCCATGTTGAAGGATCTTTAGAAAGGATGTCACTGTTTTTTTGTAGTACAGTTTTGATAAATGGTGAAAGCTTTGTCTTTTGAGTCGGTTTTTTGTTATTTGCTATTCTGTGCATGGGGTTTAAATTTTTCTGCTAGGGTAAGCACCATTTCTTCCCTTCGAAGGTTCAAGCTCTGGAGGCCACAAGTTGCCTCCAGCTCATTAATTGGTGTGCTTCTCATACCTCCAGTGATGATTCTGAGACCAGTGTTCTGTATTTTATCCAGTTTGTGTAGGTTTGTTTTGGCTGCAGTGGAGTATGCTCCCATGCCATACTCCAGTTTTGGTCGTACGTATCCAGTGTATACTTGTCGTACAGTGTTGGTATCTGCACCCCAGCTTGTTCCAGTAAGTTTCTTCATAAGTCTGAGCCTCGAGGTAGCTTTCCTTTGGGTGTCTTCAATGTGGGGGCCCCAAGTTAGATCTTGTTATAATGCAGCCATAACAACTAACAACCCAGGTGCTACACATGAAGAGATCTGATGTCAAAGCAATAGGCTGTGCTAGGAGATGGATTGGTGACATTAAAGAGCTTCTACAGGAACATGGAATGACAACAGTAATTGCTACACATCAAGCAATGGATGGCAAACTGTTTCTCCCCCCCCCCCCCCCCCCAAAAAAAAACATTTAATGGTAAAAGAAGAAACTGATGATGATGATGACAAAGTTCTTCTTCACAATACATCTACCTGACTGGTAAGGAAACAACACACTGCACAAATTGCTACAACAGAGAAGCATGCACATTTTATGTCCTGGCATATAGCTAAAGTGCAGAAATGGAAGAACAATCAAGATTTTCCACTGCAGCTTACAGCCAGTGAGCATGAACGAACATTCCATTGTCTTCCATGGTTTTCTGGAGGACATCCTCTATGGTGAATTAAAAATAAAACTCTGTGCCTTCTCCACAATGAAGGTTGGCCACAATAAACCACTGTCTTTTGGAATATTAAGTGACTGTGCCCCAATATCTTTTTATGGTGTGACTCTTGTACCGCTGTCTAAAAACAATGACAGCAGGTTTTTAAAAAGAAATATTAACCGTCCGCCTTGGGAATCAAACCCTAGCATCCACTAACCTCTAAACTACAGTAAATTACAGATAGGCAGAAGATGCCAAGGCTGGCCTCTTCCATGATTTAAAGATGTGTGCAAGCAAGAGATGAATGGTTTAGTTACTGAGGTGGGTTCATGAAAATAAGATGTGCTAGATCGTGTTTCATGGAGAAGAAAAGTCCGGACGGCAATATGGATAAAAAAGAAAATTATTGCAGGTTATGAGCTAGGCTTCTGAGAAGAAACGGGTCAAAAACCTGGAAACAAACTAGGTCCTGCAATCACATGGAAAGACGGAATGGGGCACACATGACAAAACTTCCATGTGCTCATAAGGCAAGCGAACAACAGTACCAGTGTAAGCTACCAGAAGCAGTGAGACTGACTACCTCATCCTGAACAAAAGATCAACCACAAAAACTGAGCAATCATGAGTCTAAAAAGAACCTAGTGTCAGATAGTTAGGAAGTTTCTCTGTCTGGGTTTCTGGGTCCTATTATAGGGGAAACAAGAATATACCCACTGCATACACAAAAGCATGTCGTAAGAGTCAACTCATTGAGAGCTTCCTTTGAAGTCGGAGTGCATCTGCCTGAGAGGCAAGGAACCAGCAGTCTGCATACGAATAAGTCAGATCTATCAAACGGATGCACAAGCAACACTCAGGTTCTTTGTAAAGGACTGCAATTCAGAGGTGTATGAACAACTAGAATTTTCCGCCGGACTTTACAGCCGGCGAACATGAAGAAGTTAGGAGGCTAAGCTCCATTGAGGGATGTAAGGCTGAAGTGTTACATTTACTTTTCATTACTGCATGATGTAAAGACATTGACAATAAACATACAATGTGAGGGTAGTAATAATGAAGCTACCTAAACATGGCTATATGGCATGGGAGTGACACCATAGATGGCATGGGTGGGGGGGGGGGGGGGGGGAAGCGGACCACAAAGATATTGAGAGACCATACACAGACAATGAGAGACAGTCCTGAGAGAATTAGAAGTAGCAATTAGTCAATCAGAGACAGCACTGAGAAATTAGAGATAGTCTTAAGATAATGACAGACAGTAATGAGACAATGAGAAGTAGTAATGAGACAAATTAGAAACAGCATTGAGTCAATACAGCAGTGAATCAATGACAGCACTCAGTCACATACCGTCAGCTCTAGCCCTGTCATACAAGAAAACCTCATCCAGGCTGGGTCCAAACAGAAGGCACTGGTTTAAACTGCTGCTGCCTGTAGATAGCCAGTATATAATATGTACTCATAATGATTATAAAAACAAGGCAGGCTTGTCAATTAAAGAATAGTCCACTAAGAGATGTTCATTTTAAATAACAGCCCCATAAGAGATGTTTAAATAACAGTCCTGTAAGAGATGTTGGTTAAATAAGTCTAGTAAGAGATGTCTGTTAAATAACAGTCTAGTAAGAGATGTTGGTTAAATAACAGTCTAGTAAGAGATGTTGGTTAAATAACAGTCCAGTAAGAAATGGTTAAATAACAGTCCAGCAGGAGATGTCTGTTAAATAACAGTCCAGTAAGAAATGGTTAAATAACAGTCCAGTAGGAGATGTCTGTTAAATAACAGTCCAGTAAGAGATGGTTAAATAAGTCCAGTAGGAGATGTCTGTTAAAGAACAGCCTAGTAGGAGATTTCTGTCAAATAACAGTCCAGTAAGAGATGGTTAAAAAACAGCCCAGTAGGAGATGTCTGTTAAATAACAGCCCAGTAGGAGATGTCTGTTAAATAACAGTCCAGTAGATGTCTGTTAAATAACAGTCCAGTAGGAGATGTCTGTTAAATAAGTCCAGTAGGAGATGTCTGTTAAATAACAGTCCAGTAGGAGATGTCTGTTAAATAACAGACCAGTAAGAAATGGTTAAATAACAGTCTAGTAGGAGATGTCTGTTAAATAACAGTCCAGTAAGAGATGTCAGTTAAATAAAAAAAAAAATTTATTTTGCAAACCCCAGTTTTATACTTTATCTGCCCAGGAATATCGTTGAGTTACCCACCACATACGGCAATCAGAAACTGACTACTCACCTAGATTTGTGATGAGACTGCGGCAGTAGGCGGTCAGATTGGCAGCAATCTCCTGGTGCAGCTGCAAGAGCTCAGCCCCGCTGTCGCTGTCTGTCTGGTAGCTACCGCTTGTTGGCGAGGCCAGCCGGGTCTTCAGCTGTTTCAGGACAGCCTCTGGGTTGGAATAGTGGGGCAGCAGTGCCAGCATCTGATCCTGGTGTCAGGAGATCAACAAGAGTCAGTTTCAAGTACAGTGTTGAAGATTCTTCATGGAAATTATGACACTGAGTGACTGTTCTATGATATTGTGTGACTGTTCTATGACATTATGTCACAGTTCTATAACATTATGTCACTGTATGTTATTGTTCTTTGACTCTTCTATGGTCACACATTCTCACAATCTGTGACAATATTTGACTGTTCTATTTATGCTATGATTGTTTTATGACCATTCTATGACACTATTATGGCTACTCTATGAAACATGCATATATGATGTAAATATGAGCTTAAGAGGAAGGATCTTTGAGTTGCATTAACAAGATGTTCATGATATGTCTGATTAAACACCTGATTCATTGCATTCAAATATACAGCTGTCTACATGAATGTTACATCTACCATCCTATCAAACAAAATCTGCCCACATTTTCCAGTCCCTAATTAACTAATGTTTGCTGATTATTAGTGACTTTTTTGTTTGGTATCCTCTTCGCTGCGCTCACCGGCTGTAAACTGTAAGTTCCGGTTGTCTGCCCACTTCTAGACTTTAAGTCCTGTTCCAAGACTTGAGTATTGCATGCACATCTGTTTTAAAGATCTGGCTTATTTGTGTGCAGACTACTGGTACCTTGCATCTCAGGCAGATGTAATCCAACTTCAGAACAAACATCAATATAATCTTTGGGCCCCCCCCCCCCCCCCCCTTTCCACAAAAAAAAAGTCTTTCTAGGATGACGGTGAACAGATGTAAATAGGTTCTGACCTGTAAAAATACTGGTTCTGATGCATGCTACCACAGAAGAAAAATAAGCATACAACAATGAAATTATTATCGCAGACAATATCATGGACAAAAGCTCACCTGAAGACGCATACGCTGAGATCTGAACTCCATGCTAGCTGTATCTTGTTCAAGCAGATCCCCTCCCAATTCAGCTGAGAAAGATAAAATTATAATATGCAATTTGAATATGGGAGCTAACTATAAATAGGGGATGTAAAGTAGGGCTGTACCGAATATTCGCTTCGTATTCACTTCGGGGCCGAATAGTGGACCTAATAACTATTCGGTATTTGGCCGAATACTTGCAGTCGGGCCGAATATGATAAGGTGGTTACCTTACACCCGTTTCTGCATACACTGGGATAGTTGCTGTTGCCTAAGTCAATTTCATGCATTAACAAAGCTGTCAGTGACTATTTACAAGTTTAGTTACTTATAAAATTAAGAATGCTTTCATTCCTAAGTATTAGTTACCACAGACTGACTGACTGAAGGATGTAAAACATAAAATGTTTTTAAATTTTTACTATTCTGTACTACATTTTGTGAATAAAAATGTCAGCCTTCATTTGATATTATGAATGTTTTTTTTTTTTTTTTAAAAGATTTATTTTATACACTATACACTATTGGAAAGTGGAAGAATGGGCCTCAGTTTGAATAGTGTTAAGACAGAAGTAATGGTGATATTAAAGAAAAGAATTATTCCTAAATGTGTAATAAAAGCCAATGGTGTTATTTTGGGACAAGTATAGACATTTAAGTATCTGGGTACATGGATAACATCAGATGGAAGATGCATAACTGAGATAAGAAACAGAATAGGACAGGCAAAAACTGCATTTTATCAAATGAAGAACATTGTATGCAATATATATTTGTCATTGAAGGTTAGAAAAAGAATTTTTTGCTTGCTACATACATCTAGTTTTAACATATGGCAGTGAGTCCTGGACAATCGGTAGGCAGGCCAAACAATTTCTTGAGGCCTCAGAGATGTGATTTTACAGAACAATGCTTAAAATACCTTGGACAGCCACACACACACAAAAAAGAAAGAAAAAAGCAACCAAGAAATTTTGAAAGAGGCAGGAACCCGAAGACAACTAATCACAGACATTAGAAGGAGACAGTCATCATTTTTCGGCCATGTTATGAGAAGAAGGAAAATGGAAAATGTGGTGACCACTAGAAAAATCTGTGGAAGGAGGGATAGAGGAAGACGACGAGAGAAGATTCTTGACAGTCTTGTTGCATGGCATGGAGGTGTGTCAGCACGCAAACTAATACATGCTGCAGGAGATGGCAGATTGTGGCGAGGCATAATCACCCAAGCCAGTCGGCAAGGCACCTGATGATGATAATGCACTATTCATATTCTGCTGAATAGTTGGTCCCGCTATTCCTATTCGGTCAAATAGTGAAAATCACTGTTCAGTACAGCCCAAATGTGAAGTATATTTTTAAGAGAAACAACTGCTATAAGAGAGGATAATTCATACTGAGTGCCTTTGGTAAAGTGGTTAAGCCATCTGTATTCCTCTAAAAAATTTTCAGTTTAATTTCCAATTTCATAAAGTCTACTTTTCTTTTGCTCCTGGCAGGTGACCAGGTGTTCTGTGGACTGATACCAAGCCATATGGGATACAACCTGATAAACTTTCTAAACAAACAAATAATCTGTTACGATGAAGTTAATACTTTCGCCGTTATCCCTTTCGCCCTGCAAATGCTTAAAAATAAATGGGTCATTAATCTGTGGAAATTTCTCGGGAAAAAAGTCTTTACAAAAATTATTTTGCACGTTAATAAATTGTGAAGAAAAAACTTATTTCTCTACATTTTTGCTTCGGCAAAAAGGCAATCAATGTATCGAGAGACTGATGCCATGTCCCATGACCTCTATCACTGAGGCCTAAATGAAAATTTGACACCAACTTGACTTTAAAAAAAAAAAAACACCTTGGTCATAAGACCTCACCATTATGATGAGTGGATTTATGTATTTAAACAAATAATAATTGTGTAATGTTGTTTGTAAATGTATCACTGTATGTGTCATATGCTGATGAAGGCTTTCGAGCCAAGAAACTGACCAATTATACTTATTTAGATTGTCACTTTTTCCAAACTTGATAAACAAACACAGTTCAGAGACCATGAAAACATAAGACACACTTACAGTGGTAGTTTGCCCTAGCAATCACTGCTGTCGTTAAACTTAGCTCCCTCAGATAAGATGGGTTCAGCATTGCCTTGCGGCCTCTCAGGATTGAGGTGAACACATCCCCATAGGAGACGACTAGCAGCATCACCTGTTGCAGGAGTAAAACACTGCCATGACTGCCAAGTCAAACTAAATCCACAAACATGGAAGGAAGAGCTGGTAACCATGAGTACAATCACTAGTGACAGAATTACCATTACAACCATACTATTTCTTCTTCTCCTGCATTTGCCCTCAACTCTTTTGGGACCTGAAACAGTTGAGGTAGTTATAAATCAATGTGCTGCATTCCTTAGTACCAAAAGAGTTAGGAGTATGGCTGGTCCATTGTGCTTTAAAACTAGGCAATGATATCTGTGCCTGAAACGTTTATTTTCAGCAAAACCCTAATTAGTGGCTTGTATATGTCAGACTTGTTTTTCCTATGTGGGTTCTAAAGTCCTTCCCTTGGGGAAGGGGCTAGACCCAGTGCTTTTTAACAAACTTCATGTAAAAGACAATTAGTGGCATTATCTTTGAAGTCGGGGTGTATCTGCCTGAGAGGTAAGGCATCAACAGCCTGCATACAAAATACCTGGACATGCAAAATTTCAGTTCTTTAATTAGACCCAAGTTCAGAAGTGGGTGAACAGCCAGAACTTTTCACAGGAGTCACAGACAATAAACACTAAGAAATGGAAAAGACAGTCCACTATAGTACATCCTTGAGGATAGCAAACATATCCTCAGTTGCACATGCAATATAAGATTTGTGGTCTTCGTCTTCTTCACGTACACTGGCTGTAAACCCCAGCGGAAAGTTCCTTTTATTCCCCAACCTCTCTTTTTAATCTTGTTCCAGAACCTGAGTGTTGCGTGCACATCCATTTTTACAGATCTGACATGTGTATGCAGTCTGTTGGTTCCCAGTTAGTCGACTCCTACGACATGCTTGTTGGGAAGCCAGTGGGTCTATTCTTGTTTTCCCTACAATGAGGCCCTTGAACCCACAAAGGGAGATTTGTGGTAAGGGCCACTTGCCATTATCTGAATCTGTAGTTCACATTACAAACCAATTAGGTCCAGGGCCACAATTGAACTTTTAACTGCTTCTTCACGGTCCTGGTTTCTGCGCTCTAACTAGCACACATAAACAAATGAGAGATGCTACATTAAAAAAATCTTACAAAAACATTAGCCCTTTCGCCACAGGAACATTTTGTTTTTTAAATGTAACCTCATTATAATTCTAGACAAAAATCAATTTAAAAAAGGTATTTATGTAATTTTTAATTATTTTTTTACTCCTTCAAAATATATAGAGATATGTGGAGGGAGTAATCAATAAACACTAACAGAGTGAAGCAGTTAAAGGAATACATCTCTTTAGCCCCCCCCCCCCCCCCCCCCCCCCCCAAAAAAAAACATGGGTGATTCATGCTGTGACACCCTGACCTTTATAACTGAGGCTCACAGGGAAACTTTACTTCCACTTGGCTTTGGAAAAAAAAACTATTTAGCTTAAAGGACACCTCCCGCCAAAGCTATTTTTAGTTAATGTATTAACAGCCTGACCTCTGGAAATAGCCTGACTCCTGAAACGTCTGCAAAGGTGTAAAAACAGCTGATAGCATTAACTATGCATCTCATAAACAGGTCACAATGGACAAGTCGGAAAATGGACATATACGAAGAACTGGAACTAACCAGAAGTGTTGATTTATCCTGCAAAAGGTTTAAAGTGTGATCCTGGAGATGTCTAAATCCTATACCACACAAAAATCAAACCGTAGCAAGTCAATAATAGAACAGAATGTTTGTGAACAAACTGTACCTGTGTGGCAGCCTCCTGGTTGTCACCTCCGAGGGAAGTGAGCATGGCCAGACAGAACCGCAAAACAGAAAACAGAAGGAGGCGATATCTGGACAATGGGCTGGGCAGAAGGTCATCGTCATCATCGGACATGCGTGAGTAGCTGTGGAATGGAAACAATTATAAGTTTGACAGCAACTACAGATAAAACTATTATTTTTGAAATTAGATAGTATTTACATTAAAAGGGATAGAAATAAAAGGAGAGAGAGAGAGAGAGAGACATGGAAGAATAATAGGAAAAGGATGTATGAGAAGATGGAAGGTTCTCCTGCATGGAGAGTGTGGTTATGAGTACACCTCAGATGATCAGTGAAGGTATAAAAGAGTGTTATGTATCAGTATAGTAAAATAGTAGTATAACAACTACAACTAAATGGTAATAAAACACCTATACTCAAAAACTTAACAATAGAATTTAAAAAAAAAAAATAACAACTAACTTCTTCTTCTTCTCTTCCACCTTGTACCTCATCGAAGTGTCGGGGGGAGATGTAATGTTCGTTGATGAGCTCTGTCAAAAGCACTATTAAGACTGATGTTCATTTCTGTAAGGCTGTTCTTAATGTCATCACTCCATCTTTTCCGAGGTCTTCCACTCGCTCTATACCCGTTGTAAGGTTTTAGTGTGGCTCGCTGTGGCGGATAGTACCAGGGCATTCTTGTTAGGTGTCCAAACCACTTCATTTGTTGTTCTTTGATGACCTGTAAGACTGGCTTTATTCCTAGCATTCGTCTGATTTCATGATTTTGTATTCTGTCTTTCCTTGAAACTCCTGCAGCTCTTCTAAGGCATTTCATCTCTGTTGTCACAATTTTATGTTCATTGGAGGATGTAAGTGTCCACGTTTGGCATTGATAGCAGTGTTGGCCAAAAATAGTTCTGATAAGATTCACTTTAGTACTCTGATGTATCTGCTTGTGTGTCAACAGGGGAGATAGTTGACCTATTACTTGATTAGCTTTGGCACATCTGGAGCTAATTTCTCTAACAATCATGTTTATTCTCTAAAAGAATTACAAAGATTGTATTTCTCTTATTACATAAACAATCTCACTTCAGAACTCAACATAATACACAAGATGTGTTACCAAGCTATAATCAGAGTGAGAACTACAAAACCTCAAATATTATGAAAGCCTACCATTCATTCATTACAAATTACAGCAGAATCTACTCTGCTCAGCGATAAACTAGCAAGTATCTCCTAGAATCTCCATCTATGCTCTTGATCAGTATTTAGAAACAAATATCATAACACTACATCTCAGCCAATTACTGACTACAAATTAGCCAACCTGGTTAAATCATGGCTGCCATTGTCATGTTACAAGACACTGAGAAAGGTGTCATGTATTCTCTGACAGGTCTTCTCAGTTCCATAATGGAACTATGGACTCAAGTTCAATAGTATCGACATCATCACCAGGTGGTTTCATTAACACCTAAATTACTGTTCTTGTGGTCTCAGTCAGAGCAAGTGTCCCCCTGTGTATCTGCTCCTGTTACTTATAAGACTTGCACCTACTGTATCCCTCCTCAGAGTATATTCAACCTTGGCCTTTTACCTTAATTCTCTTCTGCTTTCACATCTTTGTTACACTGGGTTTACAAAAGGTCATTAACCTGTGTGTTTCCCACCATCATGCAAATTTCACTGGGAATTACTTCTGAGGTTAATACACAGTAGAAAGAACTCCAGCATACTGTAGAGGTGCCTTTGTTTACTGACATGTTACCTCCCCTTCTCTGAATTTATGACTGAGATTTCCAAACCTTTGTTAGCATTTCTTTGAAAGTTTCCCAAACTGGTTTTCTGGCAAGTTTCTAGGTCGTTGACTCTAGAGATCCTCATGTAAAAGTTTAACATAAATTACAAGTTTATTGTCCTAGCTGAATGTTTATTTCTTTCCATGTGGTGCTTCCCACGGCCATATTCTGTTTTTCTACATTTTCAAGGGTTGTGTTATTTTAGGTCTTCAATGGTTCTGTTATTTTTCGCTTTCAATGACTGCTTATTTTAAAGAGTGTTTTTTATGGCACGTTTTCTAAATCTTTACATAGCAAACAAATGACATCCTTGCTCTCAATATCTAGGTATAAAGGAATAATTTATGGAAGCAAATGTGATTTTCAATGGCCACAAATCACTACCGTCATTTTTTACTAACCATTTCCTTGTTCGTCTGTAAAAATGATACCTGTTTTATTTCTTTTCTTTATTAATTATAGAGCAGCCTAGGTAGGTTTCATAAACTTTATATAATTGTGTCGTTTATTATGATTTTATTTCATTTTGTTTTACACAATCTATGAATACTGTAAAATAAAGGACCCTTTTCTATGCTTTAAGGGTTATAGGGCTAAACCTACATTTTATAGACCAATCGGCACTGGGTGAGTGATGTAGTCAATATCACACAGCAGCCTTTACTTCCCAAGCTTATACTGGTGCCCACTAGAGGTCCTTTGAAAAAAAAATTTGTTTAACAAGTTTAGCCAGAATCTGAACCCACGACCTTCTGATCTGCAGGCGAGCTTCTAGCTTCTACATCACGGTGGCTTCCATGAATACTGTAACATGCTAATTTCAGAGACAGTTAAATTATGTGTGTGTGTGTGTGTGTGTTTTCATCTCACTGTTGTTCTGCTGATGAAGGCTAATCACCACAGCATCCTTTGTTCGTCTACTGTAAATGGACCTCTGAAGCTGACATGTATTTTATGTTTTTGCAACCTTTTGTTCTTTTAGAAACATTATTCAAGAACAAAACAGGAAGAACTTATAAATGTAAACTGGTATCTCTAATCTCCATATTCTATGGTACAAGGTAAAGTCGGGAGATGTGAACCAGCGTCACTGCACACAGTTATAAGCCATAAGTGCTCTGCCACCAGCTGATAAGAAACTGTAAACCTGTGTCGGCGGCTGCACTCTCCATTTACACTAGTGTTAACTCTGGTACCCATTATCTAGAGGCTGAGTGAACCCTGGGTACCGCCTGGTTTAGAACACCGGCCGTGGGCTGCAGTGAGTCGCTGCTGGATGTGAAAGCAAGTCTCCTATTGACTGTGCTAATGCGGCCCCCATGGTACAAGGTGAAAGATTTTAAAAGAAAGATCTCTGATATCACACCACTTTTGGGTGTAGAGGATAATAACCAAGTTGAAGACTTACTCATCAACTTCTGGCCTCAAGCTGAGCACAGTGCAAGAAGCCAGCTTCAACAAAGCCCCGCCATGCAGCAAGACTCTGGCTCCATCAGCACTCTGGGCAATCCGAGTCAGCAATGACTGTGGAACACAAACAAATGATAAAATGTTCACCATGAAAACACAAATTTCTTCAGACATACATTTAATTTTTTTTTAAAAAGACATCTACGTTACTGTGTTTATATACCACTTTTCAGGACAGTATAGAGCCGGGGTCATTTTTAGTCCGAGGATTTAAGACTGCAAGGTTCCAATAACTGTGCAGGTTAGCAATTGATTTTTGCCCCTGACAGACCACCTTATCAATAATTTTAACTCTGGTCTTCTGAATAAGAGTCAGTCTCCTAACATGTCAAAGATTCCTCTATACCACACAATGTACAAATGAATAAACTTCATTTTCGAACACTTAAAAATTGGGCATGCAGGCCTGTTTAATATTCTGCCCTTTTGGCCTCACTCCTCACATACATTATTTCCTTCATATTTTATTTCATGTTGGTGTCTCTGGCTAAGGCGTTGTAAACACACTTTGTAATTCTGAGCTGCCAGGTTTGATCCTAGCTGTGGATGATAAGACAGCAGACCGCCTTGTGCTGGTTTCAACTGTATCGAGGGCTGGCTGTTCAGAGAGGAATGGCTAAATACTGAACGTAAAACTGCACAGCGAAATCACAAACAGCCACAAACATCGCCAACGACATCTAAGTAACAAGCTTACCATCTTTGAGAGGAATATATATAGGGCCCTAAGACTGCCAGGCTGGGGGGAGAGAGTGCCCAACAGCTGCCCATCATCTTCTGTCACCACAGAGTCTACCAGGTGCTGGAGGTAACCGCGGCCATTCAGAAAGTTCAGCCAAGTGTGCTGGCGATCCATAGACACAATAGCATCCACCACCGACAGAGCCAGCATCTAGAGAAATCATTGGTCCAGTTCAGGACAATATACATTATAACAGTCTTAACATCAGAACAAGCATATATAATGACAGGTAAATTCTCTACAGAAGCCAACCCTGGGCCTCAGAAATCAGGTATGTGAAAAAGGGTGGTCCATCTGAAAAGAAGGGTCAAAGTTCGCAGCCAGACATTATGTCATGATCTTGAAGTCCAGCCTTACAAACTCGAGTGGATCAGTCACAGTTATAATGGTTATGGACATGTATGCAGAATGAGAGAATATCAGCCATCACAGCAGGCATAGGAGGCTAAGAACCAGGGAACCAGACCTCCAGGGTTTCACTGGGAAGAAAACATCTGACAGTACCTGACTGACAGATGACTGGAATGGAACAAAGCCACACACAGAAAAAACTGTTGCCAGAGAAGTCTGGTGATCTCTCTGGCAAACCTCTACACCCCAAGGTAGAAAATGGTCGTCTAAATAAGTAAACTCTCTACAGGGATACATTTCCTAAACTTGATAATTCTCATCATGAATATTGTGCTATTCAATTGTTAACTATGTTGACTCCAGAAAATTGGTTTTCCTACTTTTATGGGCTTATGATGACTTGACATTTCTGGAGAGTGGCCAATTTGCCTATACAACAGCTGTGGTACTTGTTGCAACTGCATATTTTTCATAGGTTCGAGTTTTAGAAGACTTTCAATAGATGATTTAATCAATATATCGCACTAGTTCCAGCTGCTTCCAACAAATTTCCTGAAAACCATTTTTAGAAAGCAAGTCAATGAAAAAGTATCAACACCTATGCTATGTCAGCAGACCTCACACGGCTATACTTTTTCTGTGTCAGCAGACCTCACACAGCTATACTTTTTTCTGTGTCAGCAGAGCTCACACAGCTATACTTTTTCTGTGTCAGCAGACCTCAAAAAAGCTATATTATGCCAGCAGACCTCACACAACTATACTATGTCAGCAAATCTCACACAACTATACCAATCAACCCAACACAACTATACTATACAAGCAGACCCCATCAGTCAGACTCACCCGCCCAATCTGGTGGCCATCACAAGCATCCCGAGCCAGGGCCTCCATCAAACAGTCCCCATAGGAGCTGATGGTCTCCATGTTTTCTGCTGCCAGACGATCAAACTCGGAGCTGTCACTAGACAACAGCCTCTCCATACCTGAGTTGCTGGACACTGCAGATGTGTGGACAAATATTGTGTGAACTTTTGTGTTGATTAATGATTAATAAAAGTGATGTTTTGGAACTACGTGAGCATCTTCAAGTAAATAGGCTTTGTGTTTATATGTACAAGTGTGTGTGTGTCTTCGTGTGAGTAAATGGATAGTGTGTGTGAATGAGTGAATGAGCATGCATAAACATACAGATTATCACCTTCCATGAAATACTCTCACATTTGTATCAAACATTTAGTATTTTATTGGTGAATTGCTCAATATCACACCACTTGCTTTTTTACTTCTCAGGACATTTCTTAGTACCCATTTTGGGCAGTCTCTTTTTTTTTAAATTTTGTATTTATCTGGCTCAGTAGAGACTTGAACCGAAGTACTGAATGCTAACCAGATCCCATGGTCATTCTCCACTGCCCTAGCCTCTCCAGGCCACGGCACCTAGTTTGTGAATTGAGCCTGAAGCAGTCACTGCAGCCTTCTGCTGCCTTGAGAACCAGCACACACAAGTTGTGAGTTCAACAGACTCACAAAGCATGCTGAGACAAGTGGAGAAATGTATGCTTCAAGCTGAGTGAAAAGCATGCTTCAGAAGTCCCAAGTTTCTCTTTACCTAATAGTTAAGCATAAACCCTCAACTGAGATGTGACAAACCTTTTAAGATAGTATTTTTCTTCTTCTGAGTTAATCCATAAAAAGTAAGGGCACTCTAAGCAGCGTGTGTTGGGTCTAACACATCCAATTTCAAAAAAGTAGACAGACTGGCTGGTTATGCATTACTAAGCTATTAGTAGCCCTCAAATCAGTTTCTCTATTATCTGACAACTAATGGAAAAAAAACTAGCAAGTATTAGCTTCCTTACCTGTCAAAGGCTCATCACTCTTGTCCGACTTTTGTGCGATCTGCAGACAATACAGCAAGGCCCCATAGAGATTGACCCGGACTCTCTGGATCCCACCACCTGGCAAATACAAGATAAAGTGTGATTCACATCACAAAGTTCTGCTGCTTGCTCTTCTGGCCACCTCAACCACAGACTGTTGCAGAGTTTCTCTGATGTTATCCTTCCATCTCATTCTTGGTTCTTGGCAACAGAACAGAGTATCTATACCCGGAAAGACTAATTCAGCGAGCGGTTAGAAGAGATTCTGGAAGATATTCAACACTGAGAGAAAACTAAGGCAGATTTTATATTAGGTTGCAACTGGAACTATTATCTTCGGAACTTCTTGTTCACGAAAGTTCATGTGGGAATATCTCACATGCAGAATGTTTATTATTTCTTCATTCATTCTAGTTCTTGATCTACGTCCCTCTCTATTTATGGTGCACATCTTGTATGGTATGGTATTGTAGGCATTCTCTCTAACTTTCCTTTGTATGTAATTCAGCATGTGTTCTGTGCCAGCTTATGACTTCATCCCTGATTTTGTCTCTTCTAGTCACTCAAGCAGCCCGTCTCAGACATCTCATTTCAACGATAACTAATTTTCTTGGTGGGGACGAATTTCACAAATAAAACTAACATCTATTACTTCTACTTACTCGACTTCAAGATGTAATCAATGAGGCCCCTCAGCACAATCTGCATGGACGTGGAGAATGAGGTGAGGGGGCTGCTCCTTTTCACAACCCAGAAAGGATGAGAGGAAGTGTCTGTGGGGCAGGGCATGAGGGACGAGGCTGACAGCAGAAAGCAGTGCCGCAGGTTGGTCATCAGAGTCAGGAGAACATCAGACACGGCCGTGGTGGCTTCCAGGTTTACGTCCTCTCCAGAAACCTGCAATCGAGAATAGTAGCGGGATTGAGAAAATGAGCAACAGGTCTGAAAATAACAATAACAGATTTGTGAATACAAAGAAACTTAAGATTAACAGTAACAGGTTTGTAAATGCAACAACAATTTAGGAGTAACAGGAAACAGAAAGAGATCTGAGAATAACAATGAGTAATAAGAAAAGGCTTGAGAATAACAGTATTAAGGACCAGTAAAAGGTCTGAGACTAACAACGTGGAATAGTAAAAGATTTGAGAATAACATTAACAAGATACAATACTCTTTGGTAATAGAGTAACTTAAGACACAGTAAGGGGTTGCAAGTAAACAAGGACGGCAAGTAAACAATGTGGAACAGTGAACAGATGACACCAATCTGGACAACATGCTGCAGCAAGGAGTGACCAGGTGGGTCTGACACCCATCTCTTTGAGGAAAGTCCAGATGGACTAATAGACCGCTACTGACATCATCTTAATAGAACCACCTCACTTCTCTCCTAACCTCACCTTCCTGTATACACTCAGACACAACCTCACTTTCAGTAACAATTCACACACAACCTCACCTTCAGTAACAACCCCTGAAAAACACTCAGACACAACTCCACCTTTGGTAACAACTCACACACCACCTCACTTTCAGTAACAACTCACACATAACCTCCCCTTCAGTAACTCACACAAAACCTCACCTTCAGTAACAACTCCTGTAACAACTCAAACAGAACCGCCTGCCTCCTCTCCCCACTCAGAAGATCATGACCATCTTCATGCTAATCTCCCGAAGATCAATATACGAATAAATACCAGCTCTGGAGTACAACACGTCAGCAAATACTGAAGTCAATTGTGTACATTTTACAGCACACTGCAAACCATCACCAGCCTTTATTGGCTGTTTTTGACTTTACTAGGCAATTATACATTCAATTGTGATTACTTTCTGAATGGTCAACTTTCTATACAAATGTAAAAAATTAATGCACATGTCTGCTGCCAAATCAAACTGCACATTGTGGAATAACAAAAGCAAATACTGCAGACTTCAACAGATCATTTAAGAAGAATATCAGTACAGAACATAACCTCTAAAACACAGGCAAGGATAACCATTCTGGCCATATAAGCCAGAGATACATAAGCAAATAATATGACTTCTTCTTCTTAAAGTCCATGCTGTGCGGCGTTGGTAGTCATGTCTATCCATAATCTTCTGTCTCGTGTACTTTTAATCAACTCTGACATATAGATGATCTTCCATGCCATGGCGTCAAACTGCCCCGCGTCTTTTCTATCAAGTCATAAAAAAACCATTATCATGTAGCAGGTCTTGTGCAGAATGCCGATCCCATTGTGGCCTACCTGAAAGAAACTCAGGTTCCTCACCAGATCTCCTGCCTCCTAACGAAGGTGTCCCTTATATCCTGTGCCATCTTTGTTCTGTTTGACTCCTGTCCCACTTTTCTGGCACCACGTTTTCTGCTATCATTCTTTCCAATCCACCATGGAGCTTGACGGACGTAATCAAAATATTTGTTTCCAAGATAAGATGCTGTTTACCAGTCAATGTTCCTTGATCTTCAGATCTTTTAAGATGACAGAATTTATCTTCTTCTTGTCCCATAGTACTGAGAATTTTCTAGAGCCTTTTGGTTTCAAAAGCCCCTATTCTCTTTCATAATGACTGTAAGATAAAAAACAGGAGGGAAAAGCTGAAGGCATGCGAGCAAGAAGTAGACACTGACACAAGTGGGAGGATAACAGAATAAGGCGGACAACCAGCGACATCAGAGAGTGAACTGCCAAGACAGAAGACATGCCAAAATAATACCAAAAACCACAAAGAATCAAACACATTACAAACTGACCTCTAAAATGTGTGGTCTTTGCCCTGCCACCATCGGGCCTTGCTGATTGGCCAGTTCCGTGAGAAGCTCCCGCCTCAAAGCATGTACATCACAATAAACCACACCCTCCCTGGTCTTGAGCTCTAGGCTTCTCACCAGGCTTTCAATTTTAGACTTGTCAAAGAAAGTAAACTGAATCGGACCGGGGAAAGTTTGTTCGAAGGAGACTGTGTCCAGTATACCCAATAAACGATGCCTCACGTGCTTACCTGTACAAAAATAAATAATACATTACACTTAAATTATTTTGTTGACACCGCAAAAGTTCATCCAAGTGATAAATCCTTGTTTTGAAAAAACCACACTTGAACACTGAGATCTATCGGAAAATTTTGTAGTTAAATAATCTTCTTGGTTGTTTGTGCAATCCTGGAAATGGTCTTGACCCACAAAGTGTGTTTTGTGTGCACGTCCTTTTTACAGTTCCTTTCACTTTTCTTTTCAAGGAAACACCCCTAATTACTGCCTTCTATGACATGCTTGTTAGGAGCAGTTGGCCTATTCTTTGTTCTCCAGAATAGAGCCCTGGAAATGTATTTGAATGAAATGTAATACTTTATTTTGACCGATCTGGAGCAGGAGTTCACATGAATGCCTTGTAAAGTGAAACAAAAAACAGCTCTGAAAATGCATGTTAAATTTGCCTTAATTGCATTTAGGTGACTTTGGTGCGGTGCGGATATGTACACATAATTGTTTCCGTATATCGTCTCATTTGTCTGTGAATCTAAAGGTCATGGTTTCAAATCTGAATGTAGCCTGCATTTTTTTTAAAACTGACCTTGGCTTCCAGGTCAAACTAGCCTTAATGGTTACCAGGTAAAGTCATGGGAAGTAAATGATACTGACCACACCACCAATTGAGTGCCGACTGGTCGACAAAACAAAGGCTGGCCCTCTATCCTCCTTAAGGTGTGAAAAAGGATCCTTTATTTTTACTTTATGTCATCTCAGACCAGAGTTTAAGTAAGCCTTATAAACATTAACAGATGAAGTTTTAAAACTAATGTAAAGGACCATGTGTTTTACCAGTGGCAGAGCTGGCACTTGTTTCAGGTGACCATTCAAGGCTAGCTAAATCCAGGCACCAAGGCAATTGTGTGGGAGGAACAAATCTGGATTCAAATGCAAGCCCTTAGGCCGGGCATTAAACACCTAGTCCCCACACTTCCATATTAACTCAGTACTAGACACTGAACTCTTCTACTCCTGCCTTTCATCTTTCAGAGGAGCACAGACCCTCAGCCAATGTAAACAAAGTCTTTCCAAGACTCATCTATGACTGGCTGGTCTTTCTATCTCCACAGCAGTTGTTATTGACTTTCTTATGTCCATACTTTTCATCATGTTGCTGTCAAGAATTTTACTACAGCTTTCAAAGCTTCTCCTCCGCGCTGCATTGACTTGAGAAATGTCCACCTGTGAATTATTTTTGTTGTTGCAGATTTAGGGCTAAGTCTTTCCAGCACACACAGGATTTTTTGAGTTAGTGCAGACATAGTGAATAGACAGGGTAGATGCAGACAACCTGACAGTGCCGTGATTCACAGACACTGAGTCAAGAAAAGTGAGAGATGATGAACTGACAGGGTAGATGCAGACAACCTGAAAGTGTGTTTATTTACAGACGCTGAGACAAGAAAGTGAGAGATGATGAACTGACAGGGTAGATGCAGACAACCTGAAAGTGCTGTGATTCACAGATGCTGAGACAAGAAAGTGAGAGATGATGAACTGACAGGGTAGATGCAGACAACCTGAAAGTGCTGTGATTCACAGATGCTGAGGCAAGAAAGTCAGAGATGATGAACTGACAGGGTAGATGTAGACAACCTGGAAGTGCTGTGATTCACAGACGCTGAGACAAGAAAGTGAGAGATGATGAACTGACAGGGTAGATGTAGACAACCTGAAAGTGCTGTGATTCACAAATGCTGAGGCAAGAAAGTGAGAGATGATGAACTGACAGAGTAGATGCAGACAACCTGAAAGTGCTGTTATTCACAGACGCTGAGACAAGAAAGTGAGAGATGATGAACTGACAGGGTAGATGCAGACAACTTGAAAGTGCTGTTATTCACAGACGCTGAGGCAAGAAAGTGAGAGACAATGAAATGACAGGGTAGATGCAGACAACCTGAAAATGCTGTGATTCACAGATGCTGAGACAAGAAAGTGAGAAATGATGAACTGACAGGGTAGATGTAGACAACTTGAAAGTGCTGTGATTCACAGATGCTGAGACAAGAAAGTGAGAGATGATGAACTGACAGGGTAGATGCAGACAACCTGAAAGTGCTGTGATTCACAGATGCTGAGGCAAGAAAGTGAGAAATGATGAACTGACAGGGTAGATGTAGACAACCTGAAAGTGCTGTGATTCACAGATGCTGAGACAAGAAAGTGAGAGATGATGAACTGACAGGGTAGATGCAGACAACCTGAAAGTGCTGTGATTCACAGATGCTGAGACAAGAAAGTGAGAGATGATGAACTGACAGGGTAGATGCAGACAACCTGAAAGTGCTGTGATTCACAGATGCTGAGGCAAGAAAGTGAGAAATGGTGAACTGACAGGGTAGATGCAGACAACCTGAAAGTGCTGTTATTCACATATGCTGAGACAAGAAAGTGAGAGATGATGAACTGACAGGGTAGATGCAGACAACCAGAAAGTGCTGTTATTCGCAGATGCTGAGGCAAGAAAGTGAGAGACAATGAATTGAGAGGGTAGATGCAGACAATCTGAAAGTGCCGTTATTCACAGATGCTGAGGCAAGAAAGTGAGAGACAATGAAATGACAGGGTAGATGCAGACAACCTGAAACTGCTGTGATTCACAGATGCTGAGGTAAGAAAGTGAGAGATGATGAGCTGCCAGTTGGAACAGACAAGAATGCAGCAACCTGCTGTGGGACAAATAAAGAAGACATGCCAAGCAACTCCTACTAGGACATTAAGCATGGAGACAGTGAGATGGCAGCTGCCTCGGAAGACAATGCATAAATGGGTCGAACCGATCTGCTAGGATGTCGATACAGAAAACAAGTATTAGCTAGTGCAGCTCCTGGCATCAATCCAGAAGATCACAAGAAGTGGGTTAAAGCAAACTGTCACAAAATTCTGATAATTATGTCAGGCCCAGAATTTTCTCATTAGAAGTGTGTGTGTGGTGTGGAAGGCAAGGGAGAGGGTAAGGGAACAGACAAGACAACATAATATGATGTCATAAATGCCATACGTCACCTGATGTCAATGTCATCTGACTACGTGACAAGGATATAACTGAATCCCGCTCCACAACGCTCATCTCACTGTCCTCCCCTGCCTGAGTGGCACCTGCAAACAAACACACAGGGATACATCACATCTGCAACTTACATTACACAACTGGTAATGGACAAATTCTAGAAACATCTACCTTATCTATGTACCACTTTTTATTGAATTATTATGTGCCATCATTTCAATGAAGCTAGGCTACAGTGAACCCACTGATGTCTTTGGGATATTATGAGGTAAGGTCCCAATCAAGCTCTTTCACTGTGCGACTCTCGTACAACTGTCTGAAAATGAGAACTGTTTTAAAAATTAAACTGAACCCCGGTAGTCAAGGAATAAAAAAAATTGTTAAATGCATTCACTATCCTTTAAGTCAGCGGTTTTCAAACTGGGTGCCTCCGACACCAGGAGTGCCACGGCAATAATCAAGAATTTTCAAAATCTGCTTCAGATCAGCAAAGACAGCAGTTTAAAACAGAAATACTGTGAAGGGAGCCAAGAAGAGTTCTGGATGCAGGTGTATTCAGAAAACAATGTTATTGGCACAGCTGCAGTGCATTCTCAATGTACCCTTACATTAAAAAAAAACATACAGATACAGGAGCAACCTTCAAGTAATTTGAGAATACAGTTAACTAAACTTTGCATAAACATCAAGAAAATAATGAAAAATTTGCACAAACAGTTTCATTCATCGCAATAAAGATAAGTGAACATTAAACTTGTATTTTTTTCTTCTTTTCCTAAGTATTCAAACTGCTTTAAGGGTAGGTATGCCGCAAGTTTGAGAAATGCTGCAAGAAGTCATAAAGCCGTACATGTAACCTCTAGTAAAATGTCAACATTCTGTAGCAAGCATGCAAAATATACTGACTAACACAGAGGTCCACAAACTATTTTGTTACAGACTTGCTGTCTTCAAATGACTGAATACTGCCTGACTGGCATCAAGTGACTGAATACTGCTCCACTGTCTTCAAATGACTGAATATTGCTTGACTGGCATAAAATGACTGAATACTCAAGTGACTGAATATTGCTCCACTGTCTTCAAATGACTGAATATTGCTTGACTAGTATAAAATGACTGAATACTGCTTCACTGACTATAATATATAATGTTGGTCCTACAGAAACCAGGGTGACTTCAGAGGGACTCAGGGAGATTAAGTAGGAATCTGTGACTTGACGAGGTCTTGGGACTTGAGTGAGAAAACCTGGAACTCAGAGACTTGAGTGACAGGACCTGCAACTCAAGGACTTCTTCGGTCCCCAATAGCTTCTCTTACTCAAGGACTTGAGTGAAAGGACCTGGAACTCAAGGACTTGAGTGACGGGACCTCGAACTCAGGGACTTGAGTGAGAGGACCTGGAACTTATAGGCTTGAGTGAGATCCAAGAGACTTGAGTGAGAGGATCTGGAACTCAGGGACTTGAGTGAGAGGATCTGGAATTCAGGGACTTGAGTGAGAGGATATGGAACTCAGGGACTTGAGTGAGAGGACCTGGAACTTATAGGCTTGAGTGAGAGGATCTGGAACTCAGGGACTTGACTTGAGACCTGGAGAGGACTTGAGTGAGAGGACTCAGGAACTCAGGGACTTGAGTGAGGATCTGGAACTCAGGGACTTGAGTGAGAGGACCTGGAACTCATGGACTTGAGTGAGAGGATCTGGAACTCAGGGACTTGAGTGAGAGGACCTGGAACTCAGGGACTTGAGTGAGAGGATCTGGAACTCAGGGACTCGAGTGAGGGGACCTGGAACTCAAGGACTTGAGTGAGAGGCTCTGGAACTCAGGGACTTGAGTCAGTGGGATGTCTCTTGGGACAGTCTAAATACAAAGAGCACAAAGTTGACAGCAGCAAACAAGACTCACTGTAGAAGTCCTGGTCATCATCTCCTAGCAACAGCCGAACCAATCTCTGGGTGTGGGACCTCTGCTTGTTCAGGGATGTCATGCGGAGTTCAATAGCCACAGTTTTCAGAATCCACGCCTGGTGGTCGGACACATCATTACCTGGCAAATGAAGATTAAGGAGATTTTAAAAAAGGGGTGACTGCAGTCAATCTAATACCACAAAATTATTTTACTGAACTGTTTTTACTAAGAAGCTTAATGAAGAGGGGACATCATAATACAAAAAAAAAAAAAAGAAGACATTTTAGCCTGAATTTTTTATTTTTAGTCAATTTGTTCACATATTGACCTCTAGAACACATGTGCAGATGTAAACAAAGCGAACAGCATTAACTAAACATCCTGCAAACAGGTCACTACAGACCATCTCACAAACAGGTCACTATAGACCATCTCACAAACATCACTGTACCTCTCACTAAAATGAAGATTAAGGACCATCTCACAAACAGGTCACTATAGACTCTCAGAAACATCTCTATATACCATCTCAAAATTATTTTACTGACCATCTCAGAAACATTTCACTATAGAAGCTCTCATGAACAGGTCACATAAACCATCTCACAAAAAGGTCACTGTAGACATTCTCCTGAATTTCTTACCATTTTACTCAATTTGTTCACATACTTAGACCATCTACAAACACATGTGCAGATGTAAACAAAGCGAACTCACAAGCAGGTCACTATAGACATCCTGCAAACAGGTCACTACAGACCATCTCACAAAACAGGTCACTATAGACCATCTCACAAACAGGTCACTACAGACCATCTCACAAACAGGTCACTATAGACCATCTCACAAACATCTCACTATAGACCATCTCACAAACATCTCACTATAGACCATCTCACAAACAGGTAGGTCACTATAGACCATCTCACAAACAGGTCACTATAGACCATCTCACAAACAGGTCACTATAAACCATCTCACAAACAGGTCACTGTAGACCATCTCACAAACAGGTCACTATAGACCATCTCACAAACATCTCACTATAGACCATCTCACAAACAGGTCACTATAGACCATCTCACAAACAGGTCACTGTAGACCATCTCACAACAGGTCACTGTAGACCATCTCACAAACATCTCACTGTAGACCATCTCACAAACAGGTCACTATAGACCATCTCACAAACATCTCACTATAGACCATCTCACAAACATCATTACATCTGTAGACCATCACAAGGAGGATTTAAACCATCTCACAAACAGGTCACTGTGACATCTGCAGTCAACTCTAAGCACCACAAAATCTCACTTTTACATCTCACAAACAAGTCACTATTGACCATCTCACAACAGGTCACTTAGATGAAGAGGGGACATCATACATACAAAAAAAATAAGACATATTAGCCTGAATTTTCTTATTTTTAGTCAATTTGTTCACATATTGACCTCTAGAACACATGTGCAGATGTAAACAAAGCGAACAGCATTAACTAAACATCCTGCAAACAGGTCACTACAGACCATCTCACAAGCAGGTCACTATAGACCATCTCACAAACAGGTCACTACAGACCATCTCACAAACAGGTCACTATAGACCATCTCACAAACAGGTCACTATAGACCATCTCACAAACATCTCACTATAGACCATCTCACAAACAGGTCACTATAGACCATCTCACAAACATCTCACTATAGACCATCTCACAAACAGGTCACTATAGACCATCTCACAAACAGGTCACTATAGACCATCTCACAAACAGGTCACTATAAACCATCTCACAAACAGGTCACTGTAGACCATCTCACAAACAGGTCACTATAGACCATCTCACAAACATCTCACTATAGACCATCTCACAAACAGGTCACTATAGACCATCTCACAAACAGGTCACTGTAGACCATCTCACAAACAGGTCACTGTAGACCATCTCACAACAGGTCACTGTAGACCATCTCACAAACATCTCACTGTAGACCATCTCACAAACAGGTCACTGTAGACCATCTCACAAACAGGTCACTATAGACCATCTCACAAACATCTCACTATAGACTATCTCACAAACAGGTCATTGTAGACCATCTCACAAACAGGTCACTATAGACCATCTCACAAACAAGTCGGAAAGGTTACGTTTAAGGGAAACCGGCCACAACCAAAAGTGTTGGTTCTGCAGCTTCTTGGGGTGACAGGGTTAAAAATCAGACAGATAAAATTATTATTCTTTCCTTGTCACTGTCTGCATTGTGATGCTAGATGTCTCAGTTTAACCTAGTACCTGTCAAATCTCAGGCTGTCAGTAAATCCTTTAATGCATTACCGTCTAGGTCTCCCTCTACAAAGTTTCCATTTTCATGTATACTCCCTTAGATAAGCGAACAATTTGTCTCTGTTTTTCAATGAAATCAACGACAGGTATGGTTCCTAGAGTTTCAATCTCTAAAATAAATTTACGCACTAAACTGTCACATCAAAAACTGAAATCAGCACACGCTATATTTGGAGTCACGTCTGTGGCTTGGGTGTTGCGAACACGCTTTGTATTGCCTGGGTGCAGGGTTCAATCCATCTGCGGATTGTCTTGCTTGGTTTCAACAGCAATACCAAGAGCTGACCGTTGAGAAAACAGTCGCCAACTACTGAGTGTAAAATTTGCCTAGAAAAACTAAAACAGCCCCAAAAAAAAATGCTACGGTTGGTTCTGCAATGTCCTGTAAAGAATATGTAACTAATTTATATTTTGAACCAGACTTTTTCAAGAAATGACTTTGGTTCCCAGGTTGACCCAGCTTTGAGTGGGAAGTAAAGACAGCCAGCCAGATGTTGACCACATCACCCACTGAGTGCCGAATGTGCGCAATACACCTGAAGGAGTGGAAAAGGGACCTTAACTTACAAGCTACATGTCCCAGAAACCAAAAATCCATTTACCACATACCATATTTTCTACTGTCCAAAGGCAAGTGCTGCAGCTGTTGGTAGAGGAAGTCGTGAGTGGTCCGCAGGTAGCGCAGTGTCGGCGGGGATGTGTCCTTGTTGGCACACAGAGCATAGATCAAATGGAAGCCCATCTCTGCTAACTTCGGCTGGTTGTGTAGGCAAGAGGGTCCCTCCCTGGATCCCAGCCCCTTTTCTAGCAATGTCAGAATGGAATGCAGGCAGGTCTTTGAAGAGTCTAGTACACCTGGAGGGGGGGAAAAAAATGAGGTCAGTACACAGCTTAGTAAAAAGAAGCGAGCACAGAATCACTAAACAGGCACTGAAATGGGAAACAAGTGGACTGTGAAAACAAGCACATCCAAAAAAAAAGACCCTAAAACAAATCTTAATGAGAGAGGCAAGGGGTGCTGGACTGGATTCCACCCATATCAAAATGACTGCAGTGGATATAATGGACTGGAGGACTAGATTGGGACCCTATGTGACAAACAGACAGTGGCACAACAGGATGATGATGATGATGAGACAGAACTTTGCAGAAATGAACTTCTCGGACAAAGCACATATTTTAACAGGCAATGAACATATTTTAACAGTTAAAAGGATATATTTTAACAGACAAAGCTTTGTATTCTAACAAACAGAAATGAACTTCTCAGACGAAGCACATATGAACATATCTCAACAGTTTAAAGCATTTATTCTAACAAACATAGCACATATATTAGGACTCAAAGAAATCAGATAGCCAAACAGATTTTGCAAAGAATTTAACAGACTATGCAGCACAGTGTTCAACAGGCAAGGCACAAGGCTAAACAAACTAGGCACAGAGCTAAACAAATAATGCAGACATTAAAAGACAGAGGCAGAGACTTTAAGAGACAATGCACAGAGCTGAACAGATTTAAGCACATACAGGAAATGCAGAGAGTTCAACAGCTGATGCAAATATTCAATGAACATGAAACAAGCAGAAGCTAAAACCAGTTTTAACTCTTTGAGTTTCAGGGTGTTTTGTATCAGAGGCCCAAGGGGTAGTCAAAAGAGTTGTAAAATCGGCTCATCTTGCGTTCACTGGGCCTCTAGGCGGGAACATATGAATGTATGATGCGTTCCTTGGGACTCAAAGAGTTCAGCAGGCCCCACCAAGATTTGCAGGTTGCCCACTTACCAGGGTCTTGCAGAACTGTGCGTATAACAGGCTTCTGTAGGTTGTACCCCAGGAGCCAGTGTGCCATGTTAGGAGCTGCCTGGTCCAGTGATACAAGCATCAGCTCGATGATCCTCTCACAGATGGCGTTCTGGAGAACGGAGTCTGTCATCTCATCTGTATCTATCAAAAGAGGAAAAATTATGTGAATGACAAAATACATTCAATCTAAAAATAATATTAACCAGATACATGCATAAATATTCAAATTACATTCAACCTAGTCTGATTCCTTGGTTTTTTCTGCATTCATCTTTAAGAGGGCAGCTGGTTCTTTTTTTCTTTTTCAGTTATATTTTTTGCACTAGAGAGTGCATAAAAGGGAGTTTCCTTAAATGTTAAAAAAATAGAAACAATGGTTACAATCAAAAAGAAGATAACTCCAAAATGTGACACAGCAATAGACGAGAAGTGCTTAATCAAGTCGATGATGGGGATATTCATAACATCAGATGGACGATGTGTGACAGAAATTTAGAGTAGAAGTGGCCAGGCAAAGGTGCCATTTCAGAAGATGAGGAGTATCTTATGTAAAAAATCACTCTCATTAAACATCAGAAAACTAGTACTGAAAAAATTTATATCGAGCCTGTTCTGTTGTATGGCAGTGAGTTTTGGAATGTGAACAAATAAATTAAGAAGATTTTTGAGGCAGCTGAGATGTGGTTCTTGAGAAGAATGTTGCGAGCACCTTGGACTGATAGAATAACTAACAATGATTTTTGCCTTGTTCAAGTGTGTACTGAGCACACAAGGTACTTCATTTGTGTCACATGTGTTGGTATACCAGCACAGATATCATAAATCATGTTGCATTTCCTTTGTCCTGACAAAAAAACCTCGGTCTCTCACCAGCTCTCCCGCCTCATGTACTTTTTTATACTCAAGGAGTCACTGGTACCTATATCCTATGAGAACCAGAGAAGCAAAGAGCAAAAAAGGCAGAGAAGGAGAGAATGGGAGGACAGAGGTAGAGACAACGGAGGAAGATGCAAGATGAAGGATGAGGCATAAAGGAGAGAGAGACAAAACAGACATAACAGCAAGAGAGAAGAGAGAGAAATGTGGGTAAGGAATACAAAAAAGTGACAAGACACACAGATTAAGAGAGAGGGGCAGGAAGGGTGACAAGACAGATTAAGAGAGAGGGGCATCAAATACATCAAAAAAAAAAACAGCCACCTACTCCCCCCCCCCCCCCCCACACACACACACAATTTCAAGTGTAGTGGACACAACCACTAGGAAAAGATAGTTATGGGGCAAAAAAAAAATATGTAGATGAACCAGTAAAAAAAAAAAAATGGGGGGGGGGGGGGGGAATGAGAGAGGGGAGCGGGAAAGGAAATCTAGAGAAAATGAAAAGACAGGATGGAGAGAAGACAAAGAAGAGATGGGACAGGAGAAAGGGCAAGGAAAGGAAGAGAGGAAGAATGGAGAGAGAAAGGAGAATAGTAGAAGATCAAAGGAAAGAGAAGGGGTGAGAGAAGAAAGGTAAGACACGGTTGTGGGGGGGGGGGGGGGTGTAAGAACAATGAGTGCCAAAAATAGAATTAGGAAATCTCTAAGTGAGGCCACTTTTCCGGTTCCTACCCTCTCCCAATGTGAATGTGGCCGTGGTCCAAAAACAACAGTGCTAACCCCTACTGCCCCTTGCTTGTCCTATCTATGTGTGGCAACAATAATTCAATTTCTTACACTTAAGGCTGGTGACCTGAGAGCCAAGGTCATTTTATGAAGAAAAAAAGTCCAGGGGATCCAAACCCACCACTGGTGGAAAATAGAGAAGTTTACCCACACACATAAATAGGTCAGACACATAAATAGGTCAGGGCAGCAGTGGACTTCGTTTTATTTCTGGTTTTCCAATTACAGAAAGGAGGGGAGAGAGGAGGTGGTGGAAAGTGGTGTAGTAGGCTGAGGTGGTAAGGGTGAGACAGAGGAGGTGAGAGAATAAAGTTTAAGAAAATAAAGTGGGAATGAGACAGGGAGAGAAAGAAGGGAGTAAGAAATAAGATGAGATATAGAGGGAAGAAGGTAGCAGGAAGGGGTGCACTCCCTCCCCTAGGTGTCATCAATGTGGGAGGAGAAAAGAGGAGGGGGGGGGGGGGGGTGACGGCAAATGTGTTTTTAAAAGTACACATATATTTAATGTGTGGGAGGGGAGAATGGTGGACATGAAATGTTCTGCACTAGGCAACACATAACCTTCTACACCAACTGAAGGTATGGAGAAAGAGAGAGAGGGAGGGAGTGAGGGAGAGTGGCAAATACAAAGAGAAAGAGAGAGAGAGGAAAGCAGTGACACAGACAGGCAGAGAGTGAGGAACAGGTAGGACAAAATGTGAGGGGGCGGGAAGGGAGATGGACAGAGATTAAGGCCGCTAGGAAAACAAACACATCAAAAGAAAATATCCACTATGTTCACACAGAATGCCCCCCCCCCTTCCCAATACAACTTCCTGTGTACTTGAGTTGCTAGGAAGAGTTATGGAGCCACACATTTACTAAACATTTAAACAAGAAATAAAATAGGAAAAAGGGGGAGGGGGGAAAGGAAATGAGAGAGTAAAAGGAAAGATAGAGAGAAAGAGAAGAAGATGAAGATCAGAAGGGAGGGTTAGAGACAATGCAGGAGACGGGAAGGAAGGAGCAATAGGTAGAAGAGTGAAAGAGGGAGGGAAGAGAGAGAGAGGGGTGAGACAACAGAAGAGGGAATCTCGGGGAATTACAATACTGATCGCCAAACACACTGTAAAGATAAATCCAGGCCAAAAATAGAACTGGGAAATCCAGCTGCAGTCACTTTGCTTAGCCCCAATGCCATCTCTAATTAATAGAGAAGGCAGTGCTTAGCCCCCACCATGTGCTTAGCCCCCACCACGGCGACTCTATTTATAAATACAACTGAACCGAGCCCCACCATCTCCCAATGTAATCCTTTCCAGAAACCATGATCTGCAACACAGCCCGCCCTCCCCTGGCCTTTAACAAGCCATTTCAGCTGAAAATAGCCAATAATCAGCTGCCCTCACACCTGAAACGACCATACAACGAAAGTAGCCAAAAACTAGCCAAATGGCCAAAAAAGCCAAATGGCTCCCCCAAAATTGCCTGTGCTGAAAAACACAGGATTTCTGAGGATTTCATTGCCGCGGTCAAAATTCACGGCTTTTCAAGGTCGGAATGTCTTTTATAAGCTAAAAATCACGGTTCAAGGTCAACGAAAAAAATCCCGGTAATTTCCCGGTCCACTACGAACCCTGTTTACAGGATGTTACAGAACAAATCTTAGCTTTTTTGTGTGTGGTTTTTGAAGGCAAATTTATGTCCAGTAGTTTGCTATTGCTTTCTAGACGGTCAGCTCTCAATGCCATAGTCGATTCCAATGCAAGGCGGTCTGCTGTCAATTCACCTGCGCTGGGATCGAACCCAGCCCCCAGCATTATGAAGCAGGTTCGCAATGCCTAAGCCACAGACAAGCAGCACAGGCCCAAAAACACATCTACAACCTTCACAGAAAGAGGCGACTGGTCTAACGGAACCTCTTCACTACAGAGACCCCCAGTAAAACAGTCGAACAGACACAAATTTATCATAAAATCACCTTCCACTGTGGCAAGAATTGAAGCCTTCTCCTGTCTAGTTTCTGGTGAGTTTGAATCCAGACACTCCACAAAGCCTTGCAACAGCTCTGTACTGACTTGCTGCAAAAACCACAAAGGAAATATGAAATGTAATATACAAAATTACAACTCCATGATGCATACATAAGGGGGATATTATTATGTTGGTGAAGGTTATTTAGCCACAACATTCATTTTGTCTTTTGTTACTGTGTATATAATAGGAAGCTAACTAGTTTCACTTCTCATCCCGGTAATCAAGTCATCCTAAAGATTATATTTACAGAACATGTGATTCCTGTACACCTATTTCTTTTTTAACTAAACTATTTAATGCAACCCCCTTCCCAAAATAATAGGACAGGTAATTTCCAGTCATACTTTAGGAACTTACAAAACCTTAAAAATATTTTTTTTGTGATTGTTGAACAAATACTTTCAATATAAACAAATTTATGCAGATGCAGAAAATCACAACTATTCAAGAATTTTATGAGTCTTGGGTACATTTTTAGGTAAAATAATTTACCTGAAGAGATCAGATCTGCCTCGCTCTTTAGATAAGCTATTTAATCGACATATAGACATAGGATATAGTTCAATCGCCCAGCTAATGAGGTGAGTTCACAGTGTGACAATGTGAGCTGCGGATTTAATTCAAAATGCTTATTAACTAGACCAACTTGTGTTCTAAACTGCAGAATCAGAAAATGGCAAGTAGACTGTTGCCAGAAATAGCTGGTGGTGCCTTATATTAACTGCATGTGCTACTACTGATCTGTTGACACTGCTGCTTCCATAATAAAAAAAACTGCATTTCTGTGTTGGCGATTTGTGGAAAGGCAGATTTGTTGCTGGATATAAGGGACTGGGGCCAATGGTCTTACAACATAAAAATTGAGTCACATGGTCAATGGGAACCAAGGCTTTAGTGCATACAGTAAGCAGCCTGACCCCTTTTCCAATGAGATGACCTAACTACAACCAAATGTTTAAATATATCCAAGTTTCATTTTAATAATACAACCATCTGTACATGAAACGAGGACTGACTGCTATAGGATCATCAAGTGACAAACCTTTTCTGCAGTGAACAGGTTCACAATATCAGACTGTGATGGTGTCTCCTCACAAACATAACATAGGATCTTCAAAGCTGCCAGGGTGTGCTTTGGCAGAAATGTGTTGAAAATCACAAACCTGGTCATCCAAAAAAAATGTAAGCCGTTATCAAATCATCTGGTATGAATTTATTGACAATACATTTGTCAAAAACTACACACACACACACAAGAAAAACTTCTGCATTTACAGTTTAAAGGGTGAGTGAGAAGTTGTGCTATGGCTTGTAGCTAGACTGTGATATCCTGTGCCTTTCAGCCCAACATATTCAATTTCAGCAAGTTCGTGGCTAACAGCAAGATCTGTGCCTTTTAGCCAAACACATCTGATTTAAGCAAATACTCAATTAGTCACTTTTTACGAAAATATATTTAGGAGCAGTCCCCCCCCCCCACCCTCTTTCCTCCTCCCCTGCCCTTTTTTTTCAATCAAACATGGAGGGGGAGGGGGGGGAATGCACCATGTAGCTCAGGTTCAACCAGGCTTTGCATCTATGTTCCATAGATTTCTAGCTAAGAAAACTGGCACTGAGGGGTACAAGGCATTCAACTCACAGTACCGTAAAATCTAGTCTACTTGAACTCATATCCATATCTACAGTATGATTAGCTTTACTGTTAGTACAAGGAAGCAGAATTACATTACCTATTCTAGCAAGCTATATAAGAGATTATATATCTTAGCACTATACGAGAATAAGATTTACACTTCCTACTAAAACAAAAAAGAGACAGATTTACACACACGTTTCAGAACTAATTGCTTTTGAAAAGATTTACATATTGTGCCACCAGTTTCACTAAAGCAGAAACGAAAAGATTAACAAATTCCATTGCAAGAAACAGAAGAAATAGAGGCAACCATCGGTATCTAAAGGTAGAGAATAATACATGCTAACATCACACATGCCAGATAGCACGTACTTTGTAATGTTCACCAAATAATCGGCTTTTCTTGTCCGGGGATTGATAGCCAGAAGAAGCCTCTCTAGGCTGGACACAAGAATAGGCGAAGCTGACTCTCTGATTCGTCGTTCCAAAAGGCTCTGCCGATCAAATGTCTCCACAATCAGCTGCACACACAGCAGGGAGGCTTTCTCTAGATGTTCTCGACCTGAAAGTAACAATCAGTGAAGATGTGATTTGACAGGGAATAATTCCAGCATGAGTTTTAGGGCTCATTTTGGTTAGCGGGGGAAAAAAGGACAAGACCCCTGCTCCCTAACAAGCACATCATAAAATTTGATTAATTATGGGTGTTTCCTCCAAAATTTGATAGGCATTTGCCTAAGAAGTGAGGCACCAACAGTCTGCATACAAATAAGTCAGATATGAAAAACAGATGTGCGTGCAAAACTCAAGTTCTGGAAAAGGACCAAAGTCCAGTAGCTTGCTTCTTCTGGGAAAGCAGTCTCAGCCAAGATAAAGCTCAACAATGTTGTTTAAAAAAATTTTTTTTTATTAAATCCCTCTGTGCCTCCAACTTGTTATAGTAGAAGGAAATGTGTGTTCCAATAAGCCAAAGAATTATATCAGCAGCAGTTTAGCCACCAGTAGGTTCTCTGCTGCAGGACAGGTCAATGAATAGTAACAAGACAAAAAGAGTCACTGAACTGCTGCCCTGTGTACTGGATACAGTCAGAGGGAAGAATAATCAAACACGTGGACAAATGTTTGTCGAAACTGGCTGCAGTGAGTCACATGCTTGATAAAAGAGATGCTTCGAGTGTAGGTCAATAAGTCACAAATGGTTGTTTTAAAAAAAACTAAAATTAAAATTAAAAAAAAAAACCTAAAGATAACTTGAAAACCGTTAATGTTTTACACATACACTGTCCTTTTATCTTTTGACATAATTTCCACCAAAGTTGATGCACATGTCCCATTGTTTTATCAGTCCTCCCAAACCTGCTGCATATAAGTGTGTGCGCTGTTTTCTCAACCACATTTTTAACTGTGTGGACAAATACTTAGAGGACACTTCCTTAAAATTCAATCAATCATCTCCTCCACCCCCTGCACGAATGCCTCTGTTGCAATCGCAACAGGACGACTAGATCAGACTTTATCTCCCACCCCTTCCTTCCCCCAAGAAACTGCACAACAGCATGGGATTCCTTGAGGGTACACTCTGTAAGTAGTCGGCACTCTGTTTCTGTGTTGCGAATGCACATGCAACACCTAGCGCCACTTTACAAATGGAGACAAAAGTTTGATGTTGCTGTCACCTAATGACACCTTTAGAAACAACTAAATTTATTTTCCTGAAATCCCAGTAATATCTGTGATTTACTTATCGACTTCCCCTCCTATATATAACTCGCCCCTTATGACAAACAAACCTTAAATCAATTATTCATTCCAATTTAAACAACTCTACCTGGGAATGGTGTAAACAGTTCAAACAGGCCAACCCCTTCCTCCAGAATCAGCTGAACCTGCGAGTCATCAAAACAAATCAATGTTACACCCTCAAACACACACAAAAAGACAACTATTTCAGACATTAAGCAAAAGTGATTTCCGTAAAAATTATTTATGAAACCTTACCAGAATGCTGTTGGGGGGATACAGTAAAAGTAAAGGATATTTTTCGTGACAGTTGTGCATCGGGCATATGATGCTAAACTCGTATTTGTTAGATCAATTGCCACAGGATGGTGCTGCGATCACCATCACATTGGGTGTCTTTATTTCCCAGTACTTTATCTGGTACCCATTTCACACAAAGAAGGTTTGACTAGTAAGCAAACAGGTGTGAGTAGGAAAAAAGAAATAAAACAGATGTTTGAGAAAACAAATGTGCCGGAAAAGAAATTACAATTCACAAAATAAGTTTCAGCAGGACTAGGAAATTCATCACGCTTATTGGGGCTAGAAGATGATTAGTCTCTCTGTGCTTCAATGGAAACGTTAATGGCTACCAAACATAGTTAAACATACATACAATAAGTCTGCATGATAACAAAGCAAATTACTTATACGTTTCAGGAAGGTCACACAGCATGAGAAAACAATTCTCACAATAGGAGTCCCAAATAGGCCCGCAAGGAAAAAGAACAATCTACTGCCCCAACAAGCATGTCTAAAAGGTGACTAATTAGGTAGTTTGCAGAAAAGCTGCAATTCCTTAGCAGTTGTAGTCAATCATTAAAATAACTTACAGATTGAAACCAATAAAGATAAGCTGCAATTTATATAAACAGCCAATCATAAAAATGCAAACTCTAATCTTATTTATCTATGACCATTTTATTTTTCAAAGGGAACATGAAATTCCAATTTCTGATATTATACATCTTCACCAATCAAGAAAAGGTAAACATTCAATTTGAAACAGCTGCAACTGATCATAAAAAATATAACCTCTTAATGTCAATAAGCGATCAAGTAAATGGCACTTACAATTCTAAAGAGCTGTGAATCACTCAGCATGAGACACAGTATAGTGAAGCCAGGCTGTTTGCTCATTGGCTGACCTCCCAGGCTAGGCATATCCACTGCATCAAAGAGCAGGTCTTCATTACGCAGTTCGTAGTCTGACAATAGTTTCACCAGAATCTCCAGACATCCAGACACGACTTGCCACTGAAAAATATGTCAGTCATTTAAGTAGTCTTGTAGAAATATATCACAAGTTGTCACATACAACATATAATGACACTTAAAAAAATATAAAAAAAATTTAAGATAAAATTTAACTCGTTGAGTCCCAGGGGGTTTAGCATCACAGGCCCAGGGGGTAGTAAAGAAAGTAATAAAATCGGTGCATCATGCGTTCATTGGGCTTCTAGGTATGAACCTGTGAACATATGATGCGTTCCTTGGGACTCAAAGAGTTAAGATTAACACTGGTTATATCCAAAGATTTTTTTTAAATAGAATAACACTGTGCTAATACTCAGAATGCCTAAAAATGGTAGCGGTATTCATCACAAAGTTGTTATTACAATAATCTAACAAAACGATGTCTAAAAGAAAAGTGCTGATACTGTGTACAGCGTGAAAAAAAGTCACGTGAGTGATTCAGGTTTACTCCTCAGTAAGGGATAGAGATCTTTCTGTCAAGGGCAATTATAAAATCAACCTGCAAGACGTAGCTTCTGGGTTAACCATATCCTGTCCTAAAACCAGGAGTAAAGAGTTTTTAGTCCTCTTTCTGTCCTTTATCCTCTGCTTAGAAAGCCAAGAATAGGAAAGATTATAGGAGGTGGTTTCGACTTGTACTACAATGGGGAGAGGGCTAAGAGACAGAAGAATGAGAACACTGTTGTTTGCACGGTTGCTCCTCAGGATGACTGAGTACCTTGAAGCTTAGCAGGGTTTTACCCTGCAGTGGGCGGTTTAGAGAGCATTTTTTTTTTTTTTTTTTAAAACTCAAGTCTGATGCACTACTTAGAGAGTAACAATCAGGGATAAAAGAAAAGGACGCTTACCTTTTCCTCTGCCATCTTGTATGCTCGTGTGTTAAACTTAAGTAGTACAGAGTTGAGAATGAAGTCCAAGTAGGGATCAAACCCTGGAGATCTAGTTCCAGCTCCCAGACCCATCGGCACGGGGAACTGGGTCAAAGATCCAATAAGTTCCAGAAAACCTCTAGTCAACGGAAACTCCTCGTTGCGGCTCTCAATTTCCTCAAGTTCCACTTTAATTCCTCCAGGCTGGTCTCGGGAGGATGCAATGGTTGGAAGAATCTATAGACAAGCAGCCAGATAACAATGTTTAAAATATAGCAAAAGAAAAAAATCTGTAATCTTTGCTATCCTTGAACAATTATAGCAGTCCAAATGTTATCTAAAATGAAATAACAGATTTTAGCATGTAGTTATGCAAGTTTTTGTTTGATCTATAGTTATTCCATATTTCTTCACTTCCTCCAGTTACTTCACTGAAGTAGGGAGATGTAATGATCTTTGTGCTCTTACAAATGTGTTGTATAAGTTGGTTTTCATTTCTTTAGGGCGGTTCTTGATGTCGTCATTCAGTATCATGCATTCTTGTCAAACTGCCACACCATCTTACCTATTGCTCTTTAATAAACTTTATGACTCATTCCATTTGCTCCTATCTTCTCCTCCTCAAGCGTTAAACAACCAGTTGCATCCGTTCTGTTTCTGTTTTTCAGTATAAAACTCAATCATCGAGATACTTAATTATCTTCTTGTTCTACTGCATTTACGCTTAAAAGAGCAAATGCTAAATTCTACTGTGGTCTTGCGACGCCATAACAAACAGGGCATACACTAAAAGAGGACACAGGGCACAATGTAGACCAAGAACAAGACAGAATAATGATATCAGAGAAACTATTCAAAAGCATGAGGCATCTATGGATGAGGCGGCCAGAAGGACAAGGAAGCAGAACCTTATGTCTTCCTCGACACCAGAAGCAGTATAAAAGGAAGTGAAGAAGAAGAACCATTTGTACTCACCTGAGAAGCTTCTAATGTCTGCCAAATGGTGGCTGCAAACAAAGGTGTCTGGGCAAAGGCTGCTAAAGTACACAGAATATCTCCTTTCATGTTGACCGTGACATTACAGCTGATTAAGCCAAACAGCACAACCACCACTGACCACTGCTGGTTCTCACAAAATAATGAGCGACAAGTTTCATTCTGTGGAGAAAATCTGTTTATTATTTCAGCGGTTTTTTTTTCTTTCTAAATAAGGAAGTATGAATGATGATTTGGTGCATGGGATTTGGCAGGGTAAACACTAACATGATGTATCTGTCATGGTAAGATGCTCAACGTAATGTTCACCTTTATTGACAAAGCTGTCTTAAGTAAAAATATGGGAGTATACTAACTGAATAAAAAAACTGACGTATTCACATATGTGAAATCAGTCCTCCAAGCCATCTCATTCTCCAAACAGGGCTTTATCTACGAAATTAGAAGATGAAAAGATATCAAACCATATTAAAAGTAAAAAGTCATTTAATATTTTGCTTAGTCTTCCCTTGCTCTATGTGTCTTCTTCTTCTGCCTTTCTATCCCCCAATGGAGCAGAGGCCCTCAACCAACTCACGCCAAGTCGTTCTATCCTTCGCCATTGCATGGAGCTCTCCCAATGTCCTCCCAATCTTTCTAACCTCGTTCTCCAGCTCTCTGATCCATGTGTTTTTTGGCCTTCCTTTATTCCTATGCCCCTGTGGGTTCCAATGCAAAGACATTCTAGTTATGCTGTTCTCCTGTTTTCTCAGTGTGTGCCCTATCCAACGCCAGCGTCTTTTCCTCACTTCCTGATCCACTGGAGCCTGTTTAGTTCTCTCCCAAAGTTCTACATTAGTTATTCTATCATGGGACATTTTATTCCCTCTATTCTGCGCAGGCACCAGTTAATGAATGTCTGTAATTTATTAGTAATTGCCTTGGTTGTTCTCCATGTTTCCGCCCCATACAATAGTACTGATTTGACATTAGAATTAAAAATTTTTAGTTTAGTATTTCTTTTAATTTCTTTTGACTCTTGCCTTTTGTATTCTTATTTTAATATCTCTATCAGTTCCTCCATCTTTATCTACATTACTGCCTAAATAGGTGTACGACTCCACATCTTGGAGTGGGGTGCCATTAAGAGAAACCATTACTATTTGCCTGATTTATTCTCATTATCTTTGTCTTTCCTTTATGGATTTTCAGACCAAGCTGTTTTGATCTCGCATTAAGTATATTTAATTTATCTTGCATCTGATTCCGTGAATGGGACAGAAGAGCAATATCATCAGCGAAGTCCAGATCATCAAGCTGTTTTGTAGGGGTCCGCTGAATTCCATTCTTGATGTTAGCAGTTACTGCTCTATGTGTTCATTATATTTATTCAGTGTGGTTCACTGTGACAGCTGTTATCAGGACATTGCCATCGGATGGCAGAACCATTTCAGCTGTTGCCCTTTAGCCTGTTTACCCTGTAACAATCTTAAAAGGAACACCAGAATGTTGTCTAGTTAGGCTTGCAGTGAATGCCAGCCTACTATGGTATCCTGGAAACTCAAAAGACAGAACATGGGCTTGCAAAGGCTTTACAGAAAATAGTGCAGCCCCTAAGCTTAGGCAAAGAAACTCTAAAGCAATGCAGAAAGACAAACTAGAGAGAAGACAATACAAATTACAGACCGAGCTTAAGATTCTGAACAACTTGGCAGAAATTCCGAGAACAGAATGGGACACTAAATTCCATGCACTTTTACACTATATGGGTCTTGCTTATTCTGCTGCATGTGGCTAAGGTACATCAAACCACACAGCATGTTTTACAAGACTGGCCAGATTTAACGACAGAGAAGAAATCTGGCTCAAAGGAGCAAGACTACAAGAAAAATTATCGGGTAGCAGTTAACTATACTTGTTTATGCAGTGAGGTACTGTTATCCTATTTTCAAATCCTACTAAAGCTTTATGTGTTATATTATTTAATGTCTTCTTCTTCTTCTACAGACAGACAGACAATCCCATTTCACATTTATTACCTGTTGTGCAATGTGCCTGATCAGTCGGAGAACAGCACAAACGGCCTCCTGCTCCTGTGGGGTCATGACCCGAGGTGGTGTGGTGCGATAGGGAATGCTCATACTGTCTGAGGTGCTGTAGGCTTCCTGGCGGAGGCTGCTGTAATACTGATGTAAGGAGTGGAAGACATGGTCCCAGGATACTGGGCTGGTCTGGCCACCTGCAACAAAAATAGAGAACATTAATCTAATGAACTAAACACCCGGGATTGTTGCTTGCCAAATCTAGTGGAGGTTTTTTTCCCAAGAAGTTTCCAAGGTATCTTTTCAAGGTTCTGTTAGACAGGATTTGTGCTTGCATGACTACAACCATATACAGTGTGTGAAAGTCTTTATCCAACTGTCAAATTACAGTTACCCTGATTTTATTATCAGAAATCCCAGTAAGAGATTCAGTTCCCATTATGGGGAAAACAAGAATAGACCCACTGCCTCCCCCAATAAGCATTTGGTAGAAGTCAACTAACTGGGGCATCCTTCAAAGTTGGAGTACATTTGCCTGAGAGGCAGGGAACCAAGAGTCTGCATACCAATAAGCTAGATGTATGTGAAATGGATGTACATACAACACTCAGTTCTGGAACAAGACTATAAAGTCCAGATGTGGATGAACACCCAGAACTTTCCACCAGAGTTTACAGCCAGTGAAAGCGAATAAGAAAAAGTAGAATTACAGTAAACAAATACTTTTTTTTAAAAAATCCATTACCGTTTATGTGATACATTCAACAACTCACCATTAGTCCGCAGTAAGCTGAAACAGTGATGGCTGCACTGAGGCCCAGTGGCCAGCCCTGTCAGCATGTGAACATATGGCAAGAACAGTGGCGCTGGCAGGAGATCCCCAGCGACTCGCACAAATTTGAACAAGGCAATCTGAAACAAATCATGAGAAACATCTTTCTTGAACAATGCAACCACACACACATTTGTATTAAATTAGGCAAACTGAGACAGTCACAAGATCATTTGTCTTGACAAAATCCATCAAAATCTTACGTGTAAGCCTTTCAGACTACACTTTACTCTACACACTAATGTAGAGAAACAAAACAAAAAAACACAGGAAGAAACTCTACCTGCTTGGGGTCTGGCCTGTAGACAGTGCTGAGATCTGTGATCCCAGAAGATGGCTCTGGCGGACACCAGTACTCCAAGGCTAGCTGCAGGTTAAGTGGATCTTTCATGTACAAGTCTCCAATCTGGGGGAAATCAAACAGTTGCAAAACATATATTGCATGGGGAAATAATACTAAATAAATTAAATGTCCCTGCACTGAAACACTTCTTCTCTTCCTGGTTATCTCAGTGAAGTTATGTGTGTGTGGCAGGAAATCTTCTATGTGCTATTACTATTGCTGTGTATATAAGTGATTCCCAAACTGTGCGCCTTGGCGCCCCGGGGAGCCATGACCTCTTCACAGGGATGTCGCGAAATATTCGAAGATGCACGAGCTTTATTGTTGTTTTTTCCTCTTACAAACAGTCATACATTTACTTAGGTTAGGGCGCTGTGGAAAAATTATAATTGAAAAAAGGTGGCCGACTAAGACAAGTTGGGGAAACACTGTTGTATATGATGATCTTAATTATTCTAAGGATGTTCTCGATGCCATCATTCCATATTTTACCTGGTCTCTACCTTATCCAGGTTCATTATATTTCTTCAGCGTAAATAGCTCTGGCAGGTGGTACCATGGTATTGTCATCAGGTGACCACACCATTTAATCTGTTGCTCTTTGAGGAATGGTTGGTCTGTTCCTATTTTATACTGGTCTTTTTGGGGCGAATCTGGTTTGCATGCGCACATCTAATGCCTTTCTTTGCAGCACTGTACAGACACTTAAATTCTCTATTGGTTAGCCAGTGAAAGATTCATCTTAACTCGCCCACCTTTCTTTGGAATTAAACCCACAATCAAAAATCATTACTTATTCACTATTTTGTGTTCAACCGCTGTAAACTCCGGTGGAAAGTTCAAATTATTCATCCTCATGGACTATTTACATAAGTTAAGAGTGTTATGCGTAGAACCATTTTACAAATCTGGCTTATTTGTGTACAGACTGTTGGTTCCCACGCGGATGCACCCCAGTTATGACTGATTTCAGAAGATGAAAAAGGCTTTCAAATATTCAAAAAGCTGTCTAACACAGATATTTGGTACAAATGGAACTGAGCTCCACATGCCATATATCTAAATTCCAGTCTACCTACCAAAGTCATGAACTCATGTAAGTCTCCTCTTTGCACCGGAGGTTCTAGTCCTTCAGCCTGATGAGCCAGAATGATGCGGCTCATTTCATCCCCTCGGTTGCGTAGCTCTTTAATCTGAGAAACAGTTTCAAAAATGTTTTTTTTAAATGCACGACTAAAATTAAAAAATTCCCTGCTGTAAACTTAAAACAATGAGGGTGTAAACACTGCTGTACAATTGAGTGTCTGGCATATTTTATATTTCATCTCGCTAGTGCATTACTGCAGAAATTACATTATCATAAAAATCTGCCAGGCGGTTATTGTAAAATGCACTGTACCCTGATTTATTTTTAACTGGTAACATGGCTTATTTGGTCATCATCATCAAGTGTCCCACTAAACATGATATGCCTCCCCACTCAATCACTAGATGCTCATAGCAGCTTTGTGTTCTTTTCCAAATTATTCAATATGGTCAAGTCATACAGGTTTTTATCTCTTTACCTTTCTTTTAATCTTCTTCTTCTGTGTATATCTGAAGATGTGAATGTGTTAAACAACATGGCTGCTTTATGTGCACACTTCAATCAACACATCCAACTTTCTTCTGATCTTGTCCAATATAATGTACCCACAAGCAACAACTCAACAAAAAAATAACACCGAAACTTACCTTCAATGGCATTTGGTAAATAAAGTCCGACACTAATCCATGCAGCCTCTGGAAATAAAATTCCTAGGAATATAAAATAAACATTAAAAGACACACTGCTCGAATGAATTTTTTAACTATGATTTTAAACCAGGAGCCTGTGTTCTTCAGTGGCTGACACTTGCCTGTCAGTACAAATATCTTGGGTTTGAACCATCACTAGGTGAATTTTTCAATAACTGACCCAGACTCTAGGTCAGCATAGCCAACAATGGGTATTAGAAAATTTCATGGGAAGTAAAGGTTACTGGCGTGATGCTGACAACATCCCTTCTGAGTCGCAATTGGTCCATACAAATATGGGTCTAGTACCAAATGCCTGATACATCCCGACATGAAATGGGCATTTAAATCATCATGCAAAATGGGTACTGATGGACTAAGCAGACATATGGAGAACTAAAACAATGACTAATTAACTACAAACATTAACTGTGTACATTAGAAGGAACTAAATGGTATGACAGAAGCACTAGTGTGATACTTTGAGCAGGAGCTGGAAAAATAATTTTTTTTTAAAAATTACTGTTTAAAAATAAATAAATCAAAATCCAGGGAATAAAGAATTTAGGAAAAGACATAAGATCAAAAAGCTAGCAAGTAAAATTTATACAAAATGCCCATTTTCTAAAAGCTATAATTTTGGGGAGCCATCTAGGATGAATAATGGCAAGTGATGACTGCAAAAGTGAACATCAAGGGTTCAGAATGCTGACAAAAAACAAAAGCAGAAGAAGAAGAAGAAGAATCTGTGAAGTCCTGGCAGCCAGTGAGACAGCAACATCCTTCAGTGAGTCAATTTTTCTAATCTAATGCAGAGCTAGCATCAAAAGTCATTTACATCACAAAATGTGGAAAAAGTTCTTGTTCTTGTCCATCCCCCCCCCCCCCCCCCCCCCCCCCCCCCCCCAGTGGAGCATAAGACCAACTCATGCCAAGCCATTCTGTCCTCTGTCAACTTGTACAACTCAATCCATGTCTTTTTAATTTTAATATAATTAATTTCTATCTCTGATTGTATTCTCCATACGTACGCGATTATTTTGTGTGTGTGTGTGTGTGTGTGTGTGTGTGTGTGGGGGGGGGGGGGGGGGGGGGGGTGTGTGGGTGAAGGGGGTGCATTACATATCTTCTAGAACGTTCCCTCATCCTGGTTGGCTAAGCAATCTCATCTCCTTTTAAGAATGATCCATGCGTGTCTTTTGCTGCTGAAGATTTTTATGCCGTGGCAGAGCAAACCTCAGATTCAACACTCCGTCATGGTCATTTTTTCAACTGTATGCTCTTTTTGTTCGTCCAAGTAGCGTGATTGTGCCGGTTTACAGCAAAGCTGCCACATTTGCGCACTTTGGCCGACACATCCGACTCATCAAGCATTTGTTGAACGGATGAACTTCCCAGATAGGTTCCTAGGATATGGTTTAGCCTTATTTAAATGGTTCTGTTTGTTCCCGTTTCTACAGATGCTGTCCCTGGACAGCCCCTCCAGGGATAGCTAAACTGATAGGCCCTAAAGGAAAGGCAAGGACAGACATGAACATTCCCACCATGAAAGGAGGCTTCCATAAATGCAGAGCCAACACATGACGCTCTGGCCCTGGGCTTGCTCAAGGAATCATCATGTCCTGCATATGACTGCTTAACATCACATCTGTGTGTTGAGCTTCCCAAGCATCACATGTTGCGCCCTCCAGAGATCAGTAGGGAGCAGCCCGCAGGTCAAGGACTTCAATTACCACAGCAAAGAGCCTGCTGGCACCTGAGGTGAGGTATGGAGTATCTCCTTATACATGCCAGAACAAATATAACTTTCCTTCAGACATCTGACCGAAATCACGGTTTAACGGTAATGGCCTACAAGGGCTAAAGTAAAAGGCTGGCAAAGTTTTTTCTTACATTAATTTTTAATAAACAGTCATTAAGCATTCGGAGCTCTTTCAAAGTCAGAGTGCATCTGCCTGATAGGCAAGGAAACAACAGACTGTAAAAGTCTGCAAAAACTCAAGTAATGGAACAAAGCCAAATTCCAGAAATGGGCAAACAAACAGGAGTTTCTGTCGCAGTTTACAGCTAATAAAAGAATCCCCCCCCCCCCCCCACCCCCCCAAATATAAGCAGACAAAGCCTCACCTCTGAGTGAAAGTTGGGACAAGACACAACTGAGATGCTCAGGAAGCTGAAAATGTTTGCCTCCAGGGCCAAGTCTATCAGTCTTTCATCTTCCTCAAAGCAATCACTTCCACCATTTTGACCTAAAAAACATACAGGATATATCATGTTTATCATGGGAGCAAAGGTAGAATACTGGCTTGTTTGCCGGCTCATAAGTGTTGGGTTCAAATCCACATTGAATTTTTATCAAAACTGAGTTTGGCTTCAGGGTCGACCAGCCTAAAATGGGTACTATGTCATTTTCTGGAAAGCAAAGGCATCAGGCATGATGGTAATCACACCTAATGGGTGCTAACTGGTCTATAAAAACATGATTCTTGCATCATATGCACCACTGGTGTAAATTTTCAAAAATTAAAAAGAGAAAATGAAGAATAACACACACTGTCAGACTGGATGTAGCAGGCCCTGAGACTATTAGAGCCACAAAACAATTTAAAAAAACTGACAACTAAATTCATTCATTCATGAGGTTTTTTTTTTTTTGCAGTTCATTACTCAGGTTTCCCGTGTGGGTTCCAGGACAATGTTTTGAGGGCACTTCTTTAAAAGTGGGAGTTCATCAGACTGATGAGGCACCAACAGTCTGTGTATAAATGAGCCAATCTGCTAAAACAGATGTGCATGTGAAACTTAAGTTCTGGAACAAGTCCAGAAGTGGATGAAAATCCAAGTGTCATGCGGAGCATGAACTCTGTTGCTTCCGGTGACATTTCCAAGACATCTGTATAAAACTGCATCTGTGAAATGAATGATGCATCTATGCAATGAACCCATGACCTTCAGAGTGTGAGGCAAAAGGCCTGACCACTTCACCAAAGATCGCGGTTTTAAGTTATCACAGGACTCAAAAACAAACACACAATGTTATCAAAAGATTCATAATTAGTATATAGGTCCACACCCACTGTACAATTTGCTTCAGATGGAGGTGTGCACTGGGGAGGATATTAGCCCTATCCTAGGTGGATAAAATAAAACTTGAAAACTGAATATTATGGCAGGGAGGAAAAGGCCCTCAGCTTTGGTTGGCATCTGGTCTAGGAGAGCTTTATTTATTTAATTTTATTTTCAAAGGGTTACAAATTAGACACGCAGGCCTGTCTTACAGTCAGCCCTTCCAAACTCTCGTCTTTCACACAGCCGTTGTATTTCATCAATAAAGCATGTTATGTTCATGTAATAATATGCATACTATGAATATCAAGTCAAAAACAAAAGCATGGGTGGTAAAATATGTGCGCACGCTTGTGCACGAACACACACCCACATACACACGCAAACCCATTCACTCACACATACACACACATTGGCACCCAATACACACACACATCCACATACATAAGAACATGCACACACACACACAGGCAGGGAGGGAAACACACAGATACACACACAGGCACGCATACAGTCACACACGCACACATACATACAGGCAGACGCATACACTAAAACAAACAGAGACACGCAGACATCGTAAAATAGATACACTGATAGAGACACACACAGATACACACAATACCACAGACAGAAACAGATACACACACAGACACATAATGGCACACACACACATACATACAAATACACTCACAGATGCGCAAACTCTCACACAGACACATACGCGCAGGCGCACACACATTCTCAAAAAGACACTAAAAGATGAAGAGACAGAACTGCTATTCTGACCCCCCAATTCAGCTGCACACCTTGTCCAAACATTGTGGTTTTCCATTTCTTTTTAAAATTAAACTTTAAATAACATAACCCCTGACCCATTATGGTAGTGGAGGTGCATCCAAGGAAGCACTAGCCCACAAAACCTGCCATATTTCTCTTGTCTGCCGCTTGAGGAATAAGTGTGTGATAACTTAGTCCTGTCCATTTCTTGCTGTCATTCCAGTTCTACTTTGCCCACCTCTTCTTCGACTACCCCTTTATGTTCCTTGCAGGCCAGCCAAGACTGGAATCGTACTGCATGTGCAGCATGTAGTCTCTGCAATACTGTCTAGGTTTTGTGCTAGAGAGGAGGAACTTCTTTCCTCCCTTTAACTGACCATCACCATGGGCTGTGATTGCCATGCCTCCTCATAGCACAATAAAACACTACTGTCTGGAGAGATGGAAAGGTGCCAACAAAGCCAATCTAAACAGGATATGAGAGTCAATGCTCTGTAGTTAGCTAAAAATGAAGACAGAATAGAGAAAGCTGCAGACAGTAGGTGAGATGATATTACCTCCATTGGCCACACTGAACTGTGATGTCTGTCGAAGCATGACTGCCCAGCTGAATTGTGCCGCTGCCTTGAGTCCAGGATTAGCCCAAGCTTGACCAGAGACCAGCTCCTGATGTAACTCCTGGATAAAGCCTTGGTCACTGAACACGGGTAACTGCGACAGGACATCTGGAAACATAGGTAGCTGTACATTACAAACTGAGTTTGAAGTGAACGAATTGAAATTTTTGAGGAGAGGCTGGCTGAACAATTAAGAACTCTGGACTTACATCTGAGAGACCTGACAGCTCTGCATTTATGGAAGCCTCTAAAGATGGTGGGAAATGCCCATGATCTACCCCTGCTTTCCATTGAGGACCGACCCCTTACAGGCTGTTGCCCTGGATGGGTTCTCTAGGGGCAACAGCTCTAGATAAGGGTACTAAGAGAACACCATACAAATAAGACTATATTGTATCTCACAAAACTATCTGGGAAGTTAACTAAGTCAACAAATGCTCAATGAAGTTGGCTGTATCTGATAAAAACGCGCAAATATTGCAGCTTTGCTGTAAACAGACACAACGCAACTGCTTCACTTAGGCGAACGAAAACAAGATTTGGGAGACCTAAATTCAATTCCCCAGTAAAGTCATGGATTTTGTGTGTGTGTGTGTCTGGTGCAAAAATAAAACTCAAATCTGCACAAATCATGCGACTGCACTAGCCATACTGCTGTAAATCCATATGCTTGACCATCTCTATCCTATACTTACCTGACAAGACAGTAATGACCACATTTTTTATCTCCAGTGTACAACTCTTGACAGATTAAAACATAAATATGGCTTACCTTCAGAGTCCTCTCTCTGCAGCAGACTCACATCGAAGCAGTACCATAAGGCAACTAGCAGACACAGGGTCACAGAGTCTAGGGTTTGGTCAGCATTCATGGAGTTGTCCTGGCGCAGGTGAGCTACCAAACGAAGTGTATCCTGTTTGTTGAGTGGTCTCTGACACGCCAGGCAATACACGATGTCTCCCAGAGTCTGTCGGATCTCCACATAAATATCAGTCACCTGGATCATATGAACACTGGTTATAACCATGAAAAGTGATTTCCTTAAACATCTGAATAGAATAAATAAAGTCATCAATTTTGCATACGCAGTGGATACTGCAGACTCAACAAAAACTCATTTAAATAATCTAATCAACTGTCTGCCAGTGTTTCGTGCTAAATAGTCCCCAGAATATGTCCTGCAAGACTGTCTTCTGCGGAAGCTGTGAAGCAAATATGACTCTACTGACAACTGAGCCTTGGGGAAACTTAAGAGATGTAAGTGGATATCCCAGTTTGACCCATAGATGATTTTGTACATGACAAGAGACAGCTGAAGAATACAGTGGCAGGTTCATACTCATTATGTTAATTTTTTTCTGCTTCTATCTTAAAATACAGCATAGACCCTCAATCAACACAGGCCAACCCTTTTTATTTATGCCATCTCCTGAAACCCTAGTACATCATTTTTCTTGAGTTTCTTTAAATTTGTTCATCGCTGGTTGCATTTTGCAGCTTAACTTTTCTACAGAATGAGATGACCAAACTGGCTGCAACTCTCCTGAGTTGCCTCTTATAATGTGCATGGTGGTCTACAAAATTACTATTCTCTGCTTTCCATAAGGGCCCTATTAACACCTGAATGATAGTCACCTTATACATAAGTCTTCTTCTGTTGCTCTTTATCTCGCTTTGGAGCAAGAAGCCTCAAACAATTCAACTGATTCTATATTTTCCCACTGCCTATATTTCCCTACATAATAAAACTGATCTTTTATTCTTTTATCTACATGTTTTCATGTCACTCTATCTCTTTCTGATAAGATATAGGAATGAAACCTAACAATTCAGTGGTCCATAGAGTTTACGTTCCACTGTTGTTCTTTCTGGCCAAAAGGTTTGCTTTAATGTGTCAAAAATTGGTGCAGTCCTGGAGTACATGTTCTGCTGTCTGGGGCACATTTCCACAGGTGCACATGGCTGATACACCCATCTTGAATTTTGTGTACATGTGCTTACGTAATCGGTTGTGCCCTGTTCTGAGGCGGAGGATAATGACTTGTTCTGGTCTGTCCATATTAAAATATGTGCTGGGGCTGGTGGTTTCCTGAATCGATTTAATTATTCTTTTCTTTTGGTGGTATGTGACTGGTACATCCGGCTGCTCTTTTGTCGCACCTTCCCCTGCCAGTTGATCAGCTTTCTTATTTCCAGGCACTCCACAATGAGACGGTATCCACTGCATTACGACTCTTCGCTGAACGCTGAGTTTTGTCAGCAGTGTTTGCAATTCTGGTAGTTTTGCTATAGACAACTTATTTCAGGCGAACGAAAGAAGAAGAAACCTAACAATGTGGAAATACATAAAAAAAATATTGAGGGTACAAGGAAAGCTGCAGGATATGGCAAAAAACATGTTGGCTCTGTAGGTCTTGGGCCTATGCTCCAGGGGAGGCTGAAGGATAGATGAGCAGCAGGTGGTCAAGTTGCTGGAGTGCAAGGCTTTCATGCAGAAGACCCACAACTCTTGGTAAGGGATAGGATTAATTTTTCTGTGAGTGAAAAAAAGAATTAAGCTGCACAGTTCAAGATGACTTCACCAGCTATGCCCGCCTTAAATGGCGCACACCGCCGTAAAAGGGGCAAGTACAAGCAGCAAAAACATATCTCTTTTTTTTGCTTTCAAGAGTTCTAGAGAAATGACATGCAATCTCAACCTCCCTCTTTTTCTCTTTGCTATATCCAACCTCACCCCCCCCCCCTTTCTCTCTCTCAAAACACACATTGTTTACACAAAGAAAGTGAGTTCGAACCTGTTTTCTGTGCTTGGCTGGACCTAGGGCTCTGTCCTTCTGAAGCCTGTCCACCTCCTTAACCAGATCCATAGAAGCAATCAAGTCTGAGAAATATACAGGTAGGGATCAGTCAATTCTGTGCATGCACTCAAACATGTAACCCATACACAAACTGAAGTGTGAGAGTCTAACAATATGTTACCTTTTACTATGAATGTAGCAGAGTTAAAACTATAATACAGGGAATGACTTTTAAAGTCAAGCATACCTGGTAACTGGAGCCGCTTCAGTGTAGCGGCTATAAGCTCACCAGCAGGATTGAGTGAGTTACCTGAGGGCCTAAGTTCCACGAGGATCAAACAAAGATGTTGACTGAGTCAACTTTTAATAACCAAGATAATTTTACCAAATAGGCATATGCAAAGCATTAGAATAATATTCAAACCAAAACAAACAAAGCAATAAGATAAGAGACATAAAAGTGACACACTAAAATATACCTTTGTCTACCAAGACAAACCAAAAAGAACTACTCTTTGGCCAACTTTATGCTACCAGTGTCAAATCTGGACCCTTACTAAGACTAAAAAGCACAAAATCAAAACAGAAGAGATGAGATGTCTCAGAAAAATTGCCAGAGTAAAAAGAAGAGACATGTTTTTAAAATTAAGAAATTAGAAGAAGACAAGGACTGATAACAAGTCCTTCAGTTTATTAAAGGGCAACAGATGAGATTGTCCAGCCATTTGATAAGAACACCCAGGTACAAACTGCCATACAGTCACAACGAAGAAATTTAATGACAAGCGGAGCAAGAGGAAGACCACGTAGAACAGCGGTTCTCAACCTGCTGGCCGCGACTCTTTTTTTTTAAGGTCATTTCACAGGGGTCGCTTAAGACCATCGGAAACATATACTCATTGAAGTTATGAAGGAAAATAATTGTTTGGGGATCGCCATAACATGAGGGAACTGTATTAAAGGGTCGCGGCATTAGGAAGGTTGAGTGAGAGCCACTGATATAGAAGATGGTGTGACGATTCAAAGGCATCTAGCAAACAAATGACCATATCACTCACTGTCTGCCAGTTGGTCTACTTTTTTTTTACATTCGACTTTAAAAGGGCAGTTGGCAATTGTAAGAATTCATTTTCTTATTGTTGGTATATTCTCTCATTATTTGGGTATGAGGATACCAAACACAAATTATATGCAAGAGTCCAGATATATGGTATCGATTACTAATTACAATGTGTGTGTGAACAAATCGAGTACATGATACCAACTTGAGGCAAACGTGCAGTTTGGCTGAAGTGCGCCAAGTGAAGAAAGCATGAAATCATGAGTGGAATTTGGCACGCACAAGTAGAATAAGAGGTTTTTTTAAGCTTTTGGCGAAGGAGAAAGCTGAGTAAGTCTATTTTTACCCTAAGACCTTGGTACAGATACCGAGGAGGGCCATTTACTCTTAAAGTATTAGATTAAAAACTACACATCAAGGTAAAAAAAAATTCAGAAAAAAAAAATAATAAATCCTTTACTTATTAAACTTTTACACAAACACTGAAGCCACTACAATGAAATCAATTACGCTCAAGTTCACAAATATCAGTCAGGTGCTGGGTCCATAATAAAGGTTGGGTGCAACAGATCAACTTCTTTTTTTTAACTCTGGAAGTACACACTCTCGGAATGCTGCTCAACCATTTCTTGATCTTTTCCTGTTTGAATCAACCTCTGCCTCTTGCCTTTCTCCTCTAGTTTGGTTTTTATACAAGAACTAGCTGTACCCGGCCACGCGTTGCTGTGGCGTAATTTGAGATAGTCTTTGATCCCCCCCCCCACCACAACTAAATCCACCTAGTACCCTCTCCCTCATCAAAGGTTTTTAGAAAAGAAAGACAATGGAAATCGCACCTGTCTAATGAAGTTAATGACGCAGTCAATGTCTGCGCCGACGTCGAGATAGTCCTTGATTGCTCCCCCCCCCCCCCCCCCCCCCATCGAAGGTTGTTTGAAAAAAAAACAGAAAATAGAAATCGTGTTTAATATGGTTATTGGTGGCAATATAGAGATAGTCTTGTTTGCTGTACCACGACCTACTCTATGTATTAGTATTAGAGAAGGCGTTGGCTGCACGTAACTCGCCGGCGAATGGTAAATACGGCGCATGCGCAATTACTAACGTGGCTATAATTAGAAATCACTTAAGTTATAAATATTAGTTGCGTATATTTTGGCCGCGTGCAGGAAAGCCCTAGGTCAAGGCCGATATACCTGGCGCCACAACAAGGTGCTAAAGGAGTTAGCAGCCGTTGTCGACCAGGCTAGAATGAGGGCTAACGCCAGAGCCAGTTCTAGTATCGCCCCCATTTGTTTCAAGGCTGGGCAGGTTCCAATTGGTAAGGTCAACAAAAACGCATTCGCTCCATCTGTGCTAGACTCTGCGAGGGACTGGTTACTGGCGGTTGATCTGCCAGGCCATGAACGGTATCCCGAGTTGATCCGTAAAACCGGCCTGCGACCGGACATCGTTCTCCATTCTGCGCAAAAACGGCAGCTCATCCTGATTGAGTTGACGGTCCCGTTTGAGTCGCGTATGGAGGAGAATCATTTGTACAAGCTCGAGAAATACAGTGATTTAGCAGCCGGTTTGAGGAGAAACGAGGCTTACACGGTACGGGTATTTGCCGTCGAAGTGGGAGCGAGAGGCCTTGTTTCCACTTTGCTCTACAATGTGGTGAAAGAATTAGGATTGCGCGGTAATGAACGGAAACGAACACTCAAAAAACTGGGAGAGGTGGCCGAAAGGGCCTCTAGCTGGCTTTGGACGCAGCGCAACAACGTAGGGGACGGGCCTCTGTGAGCTGGTCCATGTGTCTAGTGGAAAGAGTTTTCTCATCCTTTGAAAAGTCCATCGTGTCCGAATTGTCTGCCAGTGTTCCTCTGCCAACTGCTAATAAAAGTCCAACATGTGTCCCGGTAAACCAAAATAAGCTTGTCGCTCGGTCGTCCAGGCATGCGGACTGTTTTAATTACGCTGCCGCGGTGGCTTCTTATCTCACAGTACCTCCTTCGAAACCACCAAGTCGTCTTGTCTCTGGCCGAAAGTATAACACCATCCGGTAATTCCGTGCAGCGGGGAACCAGCCCTGAGCGTCATGAACTCAGGAGGGCCCACCTCCGAATACGTCTAGGAATCGTGGGCCGAAACGTGTGTCGACGAGGATAATTTCTACTGATGACTGGTAGATTCCCGCTGTACTTGCTCCCTGTGAGTTTATTCCTATGGCATTAATTGTGGTCACCTATCTCTAACAGTGACAGGTTGAATTTCAAACCACGATGGTTCAAAATCCGGTATCACAACAAACATATCCTGAAAATTTCAGCTAAATCGGCTCAGTAGTTTCCGAGTCTATAGAGACCAAACAAACACACAAACATTGATTTTTATATATATAGATATATAGATAGATAGTCAGGTTTTCCAACTTTAGAACACGCACCATATAATTGTGTCTTTATATTAGTGGTCGTTTAAATGGTGTTATTAGCACGGTAACAAAAGTGGTTATTTGGTTATCACATGCTAAGGCTGTTTGTATTTTTATAGGAGACGGAAGTAAAGCTACAACTGTACTTGTAAATAACAAAGTAAGTCGTAAAAAATAGAAAAGCGGAGGTAGCGTTAGCAAAATATAAACAAATTAGGTAATGAGAACTTGAAAATCACTTGTAAAGCTCTTTAACTCTTTGAGTCCCAAGGAACGCATCATACGTTCATAGATTCCTACCTAGAGGCCCAATAAACGCATGATGTGCCGATTTTACGTCTCTCTTGACTACCCCTTGGGCCTGTGATGCTAAATCCACTGGGACTCAAAGAGTTAAGTTCTCTTAAATTTAAGTCATTACCCCCCTCCTCTCCCCTCTTCCACCGACTACTGCTCTCTCTCTCTCTTCAAAGGATTTGAAAATCACTAACTGGCGATATTTTGTTGTTGCTGTAACTGACATCTGGACTAAAATAAGGAGCAGGAATTGTAAAAGGTAGTGAATAGGGCTAGTGAAATATTTACCACATCATCCTTCAAGTACCAGTACAACTACTAAAATAATGTCACTGCTATCTGTGTTACCATCGGAGTAGACAGAGAGTCGTGAGCCAGAAGATTTGGTTCCGCATGGCTAGTGCTGTCGCCACAGACTGGTCAGGTTAGGATGTATAATTTCACTTGCCGACAGAAGAGCGCCATAACCTTACCGGCGGTCTTCACATGAGAGCACTATGGTGTAACAGCCCAACCACAACTATTACTGCTGCTGCTACTTTAAGTGGGTAAAGCAGTTACTGTGATTTAAAGCTCTCTCAGTTAATAGTTTGCCCCCCCCCCCCCAAATTCACCGACAACTCTTTCCCACATTGAAGTAGTTGGGAGAAGAAGAAAAAAACATTTGAAAAGCAAATGAACACAGGGAAAAAACACACCATAATTAGGAAATGAACGCCATTGTAAACAGCACAGCTTAAAATTCCAACACAGATGAAATAACTAAATCTAAATGAAAATAAATGAAAATCTATAAAATTTCAGCGTAACCATGCAATCGGAAAGTTTAACAATGCAATCATAAGTATGCGAAATGGTCAAATTTAATTATCAAATGGTTTACCCATTTACTGGTTGTTTTTTTTTTTTTTAATATTAAGGCAACATGGCTAGTGCTGTCACCACGACAGAGCAGATGAGGATATTATTTTAGTCTGGGGTTAAAAAAAATTTAACTACTGCGGATTCGAACCCAGGTCTACCGCACTTGAACCCAGTGTTCTAACCATTCGACCAAGCAGCCACTTAATGGGAACAACGAAAAGAGAACACAACTATTAGACATATGTGTCCCTACCACTGTGTCCCGATTAAAACACAATTCAAAACCGCAGGCAATTGTTTTCTCGTAGACAGATACTCCAGATATATTAATGAAATAGAAATCGCACGTGTCTAACACGGTTAATGAAGTACACGGTTAATGAAGTTAATGTCGCAGTCACTGTCTGCGCCGACGTCAAGATAGTCCTCGATTGCCCCCCCCCCCCCTCCCCCAATCGAAGGTTGTTTGAAAAAAAAACAGAAAATAGAAATCGTGTTTAATATGGTTATTGTGGCAAATATAGAGATAGTCTTGTTTGCTGTACCACGACCTACTCTATGTATTAGTATTAGAGAAGGCGTTGGCTGCACGTAACTCGCCGGCGAATGGTAAATACGGCGCATGCGCAATTACTAACGTGGCTATAATTAGAAATCACTAAAGTTATAAATATTAGTTGCGTATATTTTGGCATACATTGTGGTCACCTATCTCTAACAGTGACAGGTTGAATTTCAAACCACGACGGTTCAAAATCCGGTATCACAACAAACATATCCTGAAAATTTCAGACCAAACAAACCCACAAACATTGATTTTTATATATATAGATTATGTTTTTTAATACAGCCAAAGTATTTCACCACAATCTCACCTTTTTTTTTTATATTTATGTTTCCTTTCCTTTTTTTTTTTTTAAATCCTATATTTACCTTTTCATTCATAGTGTCTAAATGTCTAGCACTTACCTAAAACAGTGCCCACAATGCCTGAATCCAAAAGCTCCCCTATGAAGTTTTTGATAAGGACCTGAATGTCCTGTGAAACACCCACGGTCCATGTCCTGCCTTCTCGAGCTTGGGCCAGGGTTCTCAGGGCAGACACGAGACTCCGCTGACCATCATAAAACAGCAGCACTGCCACAAGTCCTCTTGTCAGTCCAGGATAGTTGGACAACTGCTGCTCACCTTGAAAATTTGTTCTCGATGTATTAAACTCAACAAATTTACTAGTACATTAAATCTAAATATCAGTTTTAAAATTTGAAAGTACACATAAATCAATAAATTACTTCTACAAAATGTAAATGAAATCTAAAAATTAATTTTTACAATCTGTAGGAGCACATCAATTTATAAATTGCTTCTACAGTGTGTAGGTATATACAAATTACTTCTACAATTTTTAGGTACGTACAAGTCTATAAATTACGTCGTCTGTAAGTGCAGACAAATCTATAAATCCTTTTATGTGGGTTAGTGCACACAAATAACAAATCCCTTTATGTGTGTACGTCGAGGCATCTTCTTTGTTTACCGGCAAAAAGTCCTGGTTCTTCATCCATTCGCATCTTGACTGTGCCAGGGCCTGAGTTTTGTGTGTACATCTATTTTACTGACTTATTTACGTGCAGTTGGTTGTTCCTTGCCACTGAGGAAGATGCACTCCGACTAGGAAGGAAGCTCCCATTTAGTCGACTCCTACTATATATTTGATAGGGAAAACAGTGAGTCTATTCTTGTTTTCCCCATAATGGAGCCCCCTGGAACCCACACAGGGACATAAAGGCATGACTTTTGTTGCTTTATGTAAAAAAAAAACTGACTCCGGATAATCTATGAGAGAAATGTGTATAGGCAGAATGAGCTGGCTGGTACATTATAGACCAAACGCACCTGCCATCAACAGCTCAACAGCAGCAAGTTCGTTGAGGTCAAACAGGTCACTCAAAATCAAGGCTTCGGCCACAAATTGCTGTGTAAACACCTGCTTGGTCTGCTCTCCCTGCACTGAGATACCTTCAACAGTTGATTTCTTGACCAGCTCTCTGTGTGCTGCATTTTTAGCCTACATTCATCAAATGTGGAGACAAAAGAAAAGACAGGGATTATTTGTTATCATAAAATAAAGGAAAAGGAAAATGAACAATTTAAGTCTAAGCAGTCCACTGTACTGTCCACATATTTGAATCTACGCAATTTCTTGTTGTTTTAAAGCCCCACCCTGGCTGTTGCCAGGGGCCCTAAAAAACACAACCAATGGGTTGAATGGAGTTTCTGGGACCTGACCTCGGGTGATCCTCATCCGAATGGTGACACTATGAGTCACCGGCTGTTTGTTGCTCATCACGTGGGATGACATGATGGGGTTGATCTTCACCATTATCAACAATACTGATAATGATTCTTCTATTTGTCTGTTAGTCTTCTTCTTCGTTCATCCTTAAAATAGTGTTGGCACATCATGTTGTGGTTTATAGCTAGGCTGTGTTGCCCTTCAGCTCAACACATCAGATTCCAGCACATCCTTAATTAGATGCCTTTTCTGACTGGCATAAAGAGCAGAGGGCCTATTCTGTATGAGGCCCTGAAACCTGCTCAGGGAACTTGTTTGATCTAGTTTAAGCAGAAGTTCCATGTAAAAAATATTGATGGGAAAAATAACTACTCCCATTATTTATCACTGGTGTGTTTAACTTAGGTTCTGAAACCTGACTAAAGTCCAGAGATGATGAATAATCAGAACTTTCTGCCAGAGTTTACAGTTAATGATCGCGACAAAGAAAATTTCCCTATGCACAACTTTTATTTGCTTATTTGTTTCTTTGTGGTAACCTTCCTTAGCCCTAATTTCTTGTTCTATCGTTTTACCATTGCATTTTGCAAGCTTCAGCATTTTTCTTTCTCTAATAAACTGCTATGTTTTATCATAGTATTATTTTTTTAAAAGGTGAATGGACACTGCTTAAAAACACAGAGCCCTGAAACTTACTTAATCTAGTTTCAGAAAAGATCATTTTTTTGTTTGTTAAACTGATTTGAAAAATAACTATTCCCATTATAATTCACTGGTATATTTAACTTAGCCTTATTTCATTTACCATTGAATGACCAGTATTCATAAGTCGTGTAGTAATGACATCTTTACCCATATTTCCCATATTTATGCACATATTGTTATTTAATATTAATCTGGTAAGATATATATGTTAGTCAGTTAGTCTTTCCTCTTGTGTCGAGTGCGGCACATAGGGCAGAGGTCATGACTCTCCATGCATGGCGGTTCGTTGCAATCTGTTGTAGGTCTTGGATGTTTGAGTGGTCCATGAGCGAGCCTTCCCTGATGCTAGTTCTACGTAGAGTTTCCCTTGGTCTTCCACGAGATCTTATCCCCTGTGGTGTCCAAATGAGGGCTTGGTAAGGAAGTCTTGATTTATCCATTCTAAGGGCGTGGCTGACATAGTTCCAGCGGCGTTTTCGTATAAAATTAGACACATACTCTTGCCTGGATTCTTGCCTTATTTGTGTATTGGTTCGGAAATCTGACCATTTTAAATTTAGTATTCTTCTAAGGCTTTATTTTCAAAAGTCTAATTTTGTGTCTAGAGTTTTCATTGATTTCCAGCTCTCGCATCCATAGGTTAGTACTGGAATCACACAAGAACTGAAGATCTTGAGTTTTGTGTGTTTGCTAAGTGTCTTTGATTTCCAGATGTTGGACAGTTTATTGAAGGCACTAGATGCCAGTGCTATTCTAAATGGTATAAGATATATATGTATATAATTTATATTTCAAAAATAACATTTCAAATTTTACAACTTGCTGCCATAGCCGCTTCCAAACTCGGATGAGAAAGAATGAGGGTTGGGCCAGCTACTTCACCATGAAAAAAAAAACTGAGTGCTACAGGAACTTCCACAACAGGAAGCCATTCCAGTAAATAGAATGGAACGAAAGACTAGATTGTGAGGATGATGATGACATTTTCAAAACTACAGTATACAGCACAGCAACTGTTTTCATTGTTACCACAAACAGATTGCATTTGTAAAGTATTTTATTTCATTTTTTTTTAAGGAAGAAGTGGGTAATAATTATCATATGGCAGATGAAAAGCCAGGTATTGACAGCCTGAAAACACTTAAATAACAATGACACAATAAAACTTACAGGTTTTTTTAATAATGAAATAAAATCTGGCTTGTGCTTGCGCAAAGCAATTTCCAGATCATGGACAATGCCTGGTTGTCTTCTGGTAACAGCTGCCTCCACAGTGTCATTGAGCTCACGAAATGGAGCCCACACACTGGCAGCTTTAAATGAATGTAAGCAAAAATTTTTGTTAACAATGCCAAAGAAAAATGAAAACTGCATGAAAAAAATATAGAAGTACCACCACTGTCTGGAGTTTTATTCCCTTCTTCTACCTCCTCCCTCCTGAATCTTCCAACAGAGTATAAGCCATCATCCAATTCATCACAAGCAATTTAGCAACTAAATCTGTCTATGAGACATGACTGCTAGTCCAGTGCCAACCTTAAGCTGTCTTTTTTGACGGGCATGATAGGTTAGAGATATACTAATCTTGGCCTCCCTAAAGCTTGAAAATATATGAGGCATAAACTTCTTTAGCAATCTGTATTCGTGCACTGAATCCACTGTGGGACATAAACAGAGATATCAGCTCAAGGTCTCTTATGTTTCCCAAAGCTGTCAGGTCCTGGGTGTGGCCACATGTTGCTTTGCAGCTTCTCTAGGAGAGGACAGTCTTACAAGACATGAATGGGATCTGTTTAGCATGAAGACAAGGGCAGAGAGCTGTTTGGCTCAGACTTAATCTACAGGAGTGTTTGTTGAACATGCAGTATCCAGTGCTTAAAAGAAAAACAGGGATGAGAAATGGGATATACTACATTGATAATCAACTTAAGCCTTCTTACTTCCCTGTGCTTCCTCCAAAGTCTATGTGCATCTTCCTGAGAGGCAATGAACCAACAGTCTACATAAAAATAAGCCAGATCTTTAAAACAGATGTGTTTGGAAAGCTCAGGTTCTGAAACACGATTAAAGCCAAGAAACCCATGAGTAACCTTAACTTTCTGCCAGAGACTCCCCTATGCATACAATTTACGTGCCTACGTTTTCCTTTGCGGTAACCTTCTGTTTCCTTAATTGTTTATTCTACTATGTTAGCATTGCATTTTGCGTGCTTTAGCATTCTTCTTTCTTGAATAAACTGCCATGTTTTATCATAGTATTATTTATTGCAAAGGTGAATGGACACTGCTTGAAAACAGAAAAAATGGCATACATCGCCACTACATCCAGTATGAGAATGGGGGCAGTACTGACAGCTTCCAAGTGGCTTGACAGCAACACGGCCCGACATATTGTAACTGTAACAGACTCATAGAGCATGCCTCGGAAAACTGAAACTGGTACCCTGTGCCCAGAGTGGCCTGCATCACTTGATAACACTCATATTGAGAGCATATCATCGATATTCATCCTGATTGAGTTGACGGTCCCGTTTGAGTCGCGTATGGAGGAGAATCATTTGTACAAGCTCGAGAAATACAGTGATTTAGCAGCCGGTTTGAGGAGAAACAAGGCTTACACGGTACGGGTATTTGCCGTCGAAGTGGGAGCGAGAGGCCTCGTTTCCACTTCGCTCTACAATGTGGTGAAAGAACTAGGATTGCGCGGTAATGAACGGAAACGAACACTCAAAAAACTGGGAGAGGTGGCCGAAAGGGCCTCTAGCTGGCTTTGGACGCAGCGCAACAACGTAGGGGACGGGCCTCGGTGAGCTGGTCCGGGTGTCTAGTGGAAAAGAGTTTCTCATCCCTTTGAAAGTCTATCGTGTCCGAATTGTCTGCCAGTGTTCCTCTGCCAACTGCTAATAAAAGTCCAACATGTGTCCGGTAAACCAAAATAAGCTTGTCGCTCGGTCGTCCAGGCATGCGGACTGTTTTAATTATGCTGCCGCGGTGGCTTCTTATCTCACAGTACCTCCTTCGAAACCACCTAGTCGTCTTGTCTCTGGCCGAAAGTATAACACCATCCGGTAATTCCGTGCAGCGGGGAACCAGCCCTGAGCGTCATGAACTCAGGAGGGCCCACCTCCGAATACGTCTAGGAATCGTGGGCCGAAACGTGTGTCGACGAGGATAATTTCTACTGATGACTGGTAGATTCCCGCTGTACTTGCTCCCTGTGAGTTTATTCCTATGGCATTAATTGTGGTCACATATCTCTTTAACAGTGACAGGTTGAATTTCAAACCACGACGGTTCAAAATCCGGTATCACAACAAACATATCCTGAAAATTTCAGCTAAATCGGCTCAGTAGTTTCTGAGTCTATAGAGACCAAACAAACACACAAACATTGATTTTTATATATATAGATAGATAGTCAGGTTTTCCAACTTTAGAACACGCACCATATAACTGTGTCTTTATATTAGTGGTCGTTTAAATGGTGTTATTAGCACGGTAACAAAAGTGGTTATTTGGTTATCACATGCTAAAGCTGTTTGTATTTTTATAGGAGACGGAAGTAAAGCTACAACTGTACTTGTAAATAACAAAGTAAGTCGTAAAAAATAGAAAAGCGGAGGTAGCGTTAGCAAAATATAAACAAATTAGGTAATGAGAACTTGAAAATCACTTGTAAAGCTCTTTAACTCTTTGAGTCCCAAGGAACGCATCATACGTTCATAGATTCCTACCTAGAGGCCCAATAAACGCATGATGTGCCGATTTTACGTCTCTCTTGACTACCCCTTGGGCCTGTGATGCTAAATCCACTGGGACTCAAAAGAGTTAAGTTCTCTTAAATTTAAGTCATTACCCCCCCCCCCCCTCCCCTCCCCTCTTCCACCGACTACTGCTCTCTCTCTCTTCAAAGGATTTGAAAATCACTACTAACTGGCGATATTTTGTTGTTGCTGTAACTGACACTCTGGACTAAAATAAGGAGCAGGAATTGTAAAAGGTAGTGAATAGGCTAGTGAAATATTTAAAACATCATCCTTCAAGTACCAGTACAACTACTAAAATAATGTCACTGCTATCTGTGTTACCATCGGAGTAGACAGAGAGTCGTGAGCCAGAAGATTTGGTTCCGCATGGCTAGTGCTGTCGCCACAGACTGGTCAGGTTAGGATGTATAATTTCACTTGCCGACAGAAGAGCGCCATAACCTTACCGGCGGTCTTCACATGAGAGCACTATGGTGTAACAGCCCAACCACAACTATTACTGCTGCTGCTACTTTAAGTGGGTAAAGCAGTTACTGTGACTTAAAGCTCTCTCAGTTAATAGTTTGCCACCCCCCCCCCCCCCCCCCCCCTGCCCTCTGCCTCACTCATATCTTCTTCTTCTTCGTTCACCGGCTGTGAATTCCGGCGGAAGGTCCCGGTTAATCGTTCGCTTGGACTTTTGGCTTTTACCTGGACCTGAGTTTTGCGTGTACAACCGTTTTGTTGTTCCCTGCCTCGCAGGCAGATGTACTCCGACTTTGAGGGAAGACGTCAGGCCTATTTCTAGGATGACTGTGGCCATTTTTTTGTGTGTGGGTCAAGACGTTGTCTGGTTTGTGTGGTGTTCTCTATGTCGCCTTTTCCGCAGGTGTTGCCCCCAGAGTACCCCTTTGGGGCAGCCCCTTGTGGAACGGTTAGCCCTCAAGGGAAGGCAGGGGCAGATCATGGGCATTCCCCGCCATCCAAGGAGGCTTCCATGTATGCAGAGCCGGCACATGGCGCTCTGGTTCTAGGCTCACCCAAGGAATCGTCACGTCCTGCACAGAACTGCTTAACCTCACAACCCTATAAGGCCTCCCGCTCGACAAGGGCTGCGCCCTCCGGAGATCAGCAGGGAGCAGCCCGCGGGTTCTGGACTTTTGTGACCACACGAATAGGTACATTCTTTTTCTTTGCACGTTAGGTATCTTTGACGAGCCGTTAGCATGACAGAATTTAACATCCTGCGTCAGGCATATCGTTATCTGTTTGGTCCCAACGCTCGGGCAAGTGGGGTCTTTGGGTGTGGACCTTTGGACTTTTTCCCATTCAATACGATTTGTGATGGTCGAATTTTGAGCTTACTCGTGTGCCGTAAGATCTAGTTTTGTCGGACATTTAGGCTTAGCCAGCCAGTGGGCTGTTGCTGTTGTGGTGTACCTCAGCGCGGTGACGACGACACTGAGAGTTAACAGAGGATGTACATGGGTAGAATCTTGCTGCGAGACGATACCCCCAGGAGATGTTACTCGTCTGTGCTGCGGGTAAATCTCTCGGTCAAGGGTTGAGTCTCAGCAGAACAATGTTCTCTTCACTCCGCAATCTTTTAACCAAGGGTTGTAATTTTAGTTGTACATTTGGCAGCACTTCACTCATGTTCCTAATGAGTTTTGATAACCTTTTTCACCCATGCGTTTGGGGGCGGGCTGATGAAGCCACAAGGACACTGCACCTCTGGGGGCCGCCAACTCCGAGATCCTCTGACAGCTCTGTTAATGCTCATTTGAGACATTATCCGTGGCGCACGACGAGGACGTGCTGCAGGGGTCTTGCGTGAGGTTCCATAAAACCAGAACAGTGAAGGACTGGCGCCAGAGTGACGTACGGTGTATCTCCTTATACACATCATGTTGGACTTGACTTTCCCTCACGCCTGTGACCTAAATCACTGCGCCACCATCTCATATCTAAAATTCGCATTTCTTCTGCGACAATTCAACCGTGTCAAAAGTAGGATTAATTGCGGACGACATTTTCGCGAAACGCAACGGATTTTTTTATGGCGATTACACAGCGGCAAAACTATGATTAACTACGGATGAAAAAAATTAGCGACACGCGAGAATACTCCCGATAGCGCTATCCTACGGCAGGGCCCGAAGTATACGTTAGTTGCGGACCGGTTTTCGCCGACTATAGTGCCACCTCCGAGAGTATCCCCACGAGAAGCAGCTACCGCAGCTCCTTCCAATGTATTTGCTCGTGAGTCCCAGCCATCTAGTTTAGTTAGCCCCTTCCGCGCCGCTATGCGCGGCGCGGGGATACTCTCGGAGGTGGCACTATAGTCGCCGGAAAAAAGTCTACAATTTACAGGAGCTACTTCTTCTGTCGGATGTACCAGCGTGCTCGCATTTGCCCCGGTCAAAGGGTGGTCGGGATAGTGGAGCGCCATCATGGCGGCTGCTGGTTTGAGGTTATCCCGAGGCCACATGCGCGTACATTAAACCGCATATTTACATCATGTTTCGCCTGGAACGAGAATCGCAGACAAGCCGTGCTGAGTTACAATGGCGGACAGCAAGACAGAACAGATATTCGGGCATTATTTGCAACTTCTGTGCCACAACTTTCACGTATAAAGGATTTCAATATCGGTAAGTAGTAGAATTTCCCCCATTCTTTTCGTTCCTTATATTTCCCGAGTTACAGCTTTTAAATGTTTGTAGGGCAGGCCGTAATGAGGCTCTGTTTGGGTTAACTTTCTGCGTAGATTATTTGGGACCGTTATTTAAAGGAGTGCCTATATATATAATTATGGATTCTTAAATCAGTAAACCATCCATGTGTCATTGCTCTCATTCCCCCCTTCTAAATTACTTTAAAAATGTTATTAAGTTTAAGTTGTAACTCTTACTTTTTCATTGCAAAGCCTTTGACTATCATCTCACTATCTATTCTGTTCTTTGTTCTGCATTGTATTTTATGTATTAGCTTAGAGAAAACAGATGCCGCATCTTGCTTCTTCAAGTTCCGACATCCACCAAAGTGTTCCTATAATTAGGTTACTCGTTTGAATATGGAATTAGTGAATGTTAAATCAGTCGTTGGCTCAAAGTCTATGAACGGTTAAATGATTTTTTGTTTAGCTGTACGTACGTATGTGAAGTGTTGCTTTCGTTTTTGAATTTTTAAAATCAAAATGTTATCAATATCTACCGTCAATGGTTCGTTCATGTGAAAAGGGTAAGAAAAGCATGCCAGAGATATTAAAACCATCAAGTTTATTTTGAACGGTAAATAATTCAGATATCCTCTGTCTTGTTGATCAGAAAACCAACAGAGAAATTATAAAATATCACCAACAAAATTTTACCTAAATTGACCGCCATGCTATCTCCCATATTTCTGCCGGCAACAACAAAAACTTGAATTCTTGTTTGTGTTAGGTTAAAAAGTTGTACTTGGTTTTACAACAGATCGAAAAATTATTGTCTGATTTCCTTTAGTCACGGCCAATTTCATTATTGACAAATTACATACAATAACATTTATAAAATGGTTTGCCCACGAGAGGAGAATGAATGTCCTCTCGGTAGCGTAGTAAAGTTAGCTGGTACCCGGTGCGGAACATTTCCTGTCCCCGCCCATTTATAAATATATACACACACATTATTATTTTATTTTTAAAAACATTTATTTCTCACCGAGAGCTTACATCGCTTGATAAGACTCAGATCAAGGGCATCTGTTACATTTTCTGTCCAGGAAATATGGTTGAGTTGAGTCAAGAATTGACATCACAGTACTCGGGGCATTCTCATGCATGCCCCGTCCTCATCTTCAGCAGCAATCGCTGAGTTCCAATACTGATGTTTCCGGTCACAATCTAGTTAAATGTCCGTCTTGCCTTACCTCTGAGAGTAGTGAGCCGGCCAGACCCGCTGGTTACACCCATGTGCTTCATTCTCTCCAGGCCATAATAATCTTCTTTCTCTACTGATTCCGTTGCTTGTTCCAAAAGGGCCCTGACCACATTTGCCTTGTCATGTATCAATTGACCACTTATTGGTGCGGATCCAGCCAATCTGTCTGCCTGTTCATTACCCACCACGCCGGCATAGCCTGGAGAAAAGATCCAAAGTATGCTCACTACCCGCGACCTTTCCAGTGAGCTTGCCACTCTGCTCGAAGCATTCCTGTCTTCACATTTTTCAGCATGCTTTCAGAATCTGTTACAATTACGACATGTGTATGCATATTGCTCTCTAGCCATATGAGAGCTACTGTTATCGCCTTCACCTCCATTTTCATGCTAGATGTTGTGGTATCATATGCTAGGCTATCTTGCATTAAAGATTTTCCATTAGCTTTCGCCATGAACCCCCAGGCACTTTTCTTTCCTCTCAACACTGAACCATCTGTATAGACAATCAAATCACCTGGGCGTGAATTGTCGCGAATCAACTGTTGGACTTCAACACCCGCAGCACCCGCTGGCCACCCTCTGCACACCCAGCCTAATGTTATCATAACCCTACACAGGTCAGTCTTTTCCGCTGGTACTCTGATCCACTCCTCTCCTCGCCCAATGTTCTCCAGCATGCATACTTGTCTTATAGTGTCTTCTGCTTGAGCCATCCACGATTTTTCACTTTTCAGCCTCTGACCCTTGCCTGCAGCCAACGCTTCACACGGGTGTTCTCTGTCTGCAGCTACTCTGAGGTATGACTTAGACTGCAGCATCTTTAGCATATCTGCAACAGTCAGTAATGCAATGATGTATCGCATGTCTTTTATATAAACCAGGATCACCCGCAAGCTTCATTCTGTATACGCTCCAGTTTCTCTAGCCGACTCTTCGAACAGTGAGTAACCCCGATCCATAATCAATCACTGAGATGATTAAGTGCTGGTAAAGTGTGAAGAGCATTCTCTGCTCCATGTCCATTGCTGCCATAATCTTTAGTGCGTTTAAACCTTTTTGAGCCCTTGTCAACACCACCTCTAGGTGATCCCTGAAAGACAAACTTTCGTCAAAGGTGATTCCAAGCTCCCGCAATTTGCTGTTTCTTTTGATGTCCCTGCCATTTATTTTGAGTCTGGGAACATCAGCTCTAACAATCATATTGTCTAAAGAACACTATAAGACGGTTGCCTTCTCTGGTTGATTGCAGCACTCCTCTCTGTACACCAGTCGATCACCTTATCTGCTGTTGCCTGTAAATTGGGTGTGCAAGGCAACGAACAAAATGATAGACTCGCTGCAGCTGCGCATTTGGGTTGTGAGCTACTTTATGATAAAGTGGGCGTGGTGAAGTTCCCTGTGACCAAGTGAAGTGAAATAGAATATAATATCCATACTTAAAAAAAAAAACACTAATCTGTCGGGTAAAAGGAGGGAAAGGGGGGGGGGGGGGGGGGGCGCATAGGTTCAGCGAGGTATTCAACACTGAAAGTACTGTAAGTAACCTACCTACTACTGTCCTTAGATGGTGGCATATTGTTAATGTGAAAAGTAAATAGACATTGAACTCATTCAACAAGTACGTTATCTTGAACAGTTTGCTGAATAGCTAAGAAAGTGGGACATGCTGACTAGCTGTAAAAGAAAACTGACAAAGGAAACAAACAATGCCCTGTGCACACAGTGACCGCAATGCTTTCTTTAATCAAATATCTGTTTGCAAACACAAAAGTCAGTTTGGTAAAAATAACGCAATTAATCTTCCAACGCCCTGCCCATATACACATTAGGTCACTTCTGATTGGTAGTTACTAAGCCCCGTGACCTTTGCACAAGCTTACATGGGTGTTCCGTGATACCGCTGATTTCACGTGTTGTATCTTTCAGCCCGCCAGCACTTTTAACGCAAAAAAAAAAAAAGGAGCAACTAGTCCTAACACAATTCCCCTATAAAGTGTTGTATAATAAGAAGAAACTCCACAGGGAAGCATGTACAGCAGGAGTCTACCAATCATCAGTAGAAGTAATCTCTCGTCGACAAATGTTTCGGCCAACGAGCTCCTAGATATTTTCAGAGAGTGGGCCAACCTGAGTACATGAGGCTCAGGGTTTATTTGCTCCTGCTGCACGTATTACCGGATGTTATCGGACAGGGACAAGACGAATTGGTGACTTTGCAAAAGGTACTGTGAGAAACATAGTCGCTGCGGTAGCATAATTAGAGCAGTCAGCTAACCTGGACGACCAAGTAGCAAGCTTACGTTTGGTTTACCGGACACATGCTGGACTATGTTGGCAGGTGGCAGAGGAACACTGACAGACACTTCGAACACGATGGACTTTAAGGGATAAGACATTCTTTTCCACTAGACATCCGGACCAGCTCACCGAGGCCCGTCCCACACGACGATCCGTTGTGTCCACAGCCAGCTCGAGGCCCTCTCAGCAACCTCGCCCAGTTGTTTTAGTGCTCGTTTGCGTTCATTCCCTCGTAAGCCTAGTTGTTTAATCACATTGTACGTTGAAGTGGAAACGAGACCTCTTGCGCCTACCTCGACGGCGAAGATTCTTACTGTGTACGCTTCGTCTCTCTTCAGACCAGCCGCTAAGTCACTGTATTTTTCGAGCTTATACATAATGGCTTTCGTCCATTCGCGACACATACGGCAGGGTCAGCTCAATCAGGATGAGCTGACGTTTCTCCGCAGAGTGTAGGACTATGTCTGGTCGTAGGCCAGTCTTCCGGATTAACTCAGGGTACTTTTCATAACCAGGCAAGTCAACCGCAAGTAACCAGTCCTTCGCACAGTCTAGCATCGATGGAGCGCGCGCGACTTTGTTGAATTTACCTTTATAAATCTGCCCAGCGTAAGGGAACGACGGTAGGACTGGTCCTCGCATTGGCCCTCATTCTGGCTTGGTCCACAACGGCCGCTAACTCTTTCAGCACCTTGTTGTGGCGCCAAGTCAACCTGCCTTGACCTGCGGACAGTACGTGCGGGAGCGTTTGTTTAGCTCTGCATAGCGGGCATGTCGGGTCGTTAGCCGCACTCCACTTTACCATGTTGACGCCGGACGGCAATACATGGTAGGCAGATCGAACGATAAAGCTCGGTCGCAGCGGGTCCATTCCCCAGATCTCACCCCATGTGAGTACTCGTGGCAAGGTGCTCTCTAGGCTGATCCACTGACCTTGCTGCGACTGTCGACTGCGACTGTAACTTATATCACATGCATTGTCTTTCTATGAATTGAAACGTTAATGCAAGACACCACAGAAAGCAAACAACAGAGTGGGACACACCAATAACCTCCAGGAAAGTCGACCAGACCAACAAACCTGTGAATGAAAAATGACCTACTTTGTTTGGGGAGATTTACGTAAACCTAACCGCCAGTTTTATACTTCTTGGAAAGCTGCCGACTGACAATTTAGAAGTTTTGTTTTGGCGAATATCGCCAGTTATCAGGAGCAAACTATCTAGTATCTGTTAAGCTAGTTTTAGAAGCAGAAAAGAAACTATAAGTTTACACACTGCTAAGTATGTTCTCATCAACTTATCGAGATTTTCCTATCCGTAGCCTCAGAGTTTCTTAGCAGCAATGAAGGTAACAATTAGGATGATATAATTACCGATGCTGTTCGGCTGGACTTGAACAAGGGTTTTTTGTCATATAAACCCAAATGACTGTGAATTATTGGTTTCGAAAGGTTTAGAGTAGTCACTGGTGTATATTGCTGGATTTGTCTCTAGAAATCTGAACCCCAAAAAAAAAAGAATTCAGTGTGCCGCATGCAAGGCTTAACTGCAGACAGACAGGTCGTTAGCATATGATGTTGACTCAAGTGCAATGTCCACAGGCTACATACAGCTGCATGACCATAGAGATTTGAAATATCCTTCAAAGTATATAATTTATTTACCTTTGTAGCATACGCAGCTATGCGGAAGCTTATCTCGGCTGAGTTGGAAACAAAATTTCTATCCTGCAAACATCAAATAAAAAAATTGTTGATGCATATTGTTTTATACAGTTTACACGTATATTTTAATGATGACATGGGTGGTGTTTGTGGTGAGGGTTGTTCTAAAGTAAATATTTTTTACACATCTCTGGCAAAGGTTTTTCTGAATAACTAAAGGAAAGTCCAAAACGATACATCTTTGCTGGATAAATCAACAGAGAACAAAAAAAACTGGCTAAGTTCACTCAATAATTTAAATTTACAGTGGATTATGTAGCTACAATAAGGGACATACTGCAGCTAAACATGTAAGCAGTTTCTGTTGTACTTTATGTTTCTATGTTGTCATATGGTGTGTTTAATTCTCCAGCTTATTTCTAGAACTGTTGTGGGCGACGGCAGGGAATGGGACTATCAGAGTGAAAACTGAACTTATCGTTACCCGGTTTAGTGACGTC